CTTGATTTTTACTGTTACCAGGTTTAGTTTAATACTGGTTGCACATTTTAAAGCTAATTATCTAACGGAATCCATTGTTTTTTTGTTTTTTTTTTTTTTTCAACAGGTCAGTTTTAGCTCGGATTTTTTTAGTATGCAATACAGTTATATGAAACCAATATTTTCTTGAAGTAGTTTTTACAGCAAAAGTCTTCTAATAGCACATTAAAAATTAACTTTTTTATCAGCAGTAACTTTTGCAAAAAGCTGCTAATTTATTACTTTCCTACATAAAAAAATTAAAATTTTGCTATTTTTAGTTCCTAAATCAAAGTGTTTGTCGTAACTCTCAATTAAATTAAAACTTTATATAAAAGATGAACAATACTAGAGAGAAAAACTCAAGTGAAGAAAATTAAATAGTATTGTCACTAAAAATAATTTTAGTTTAAAAAAAACTGTGAAATTAAATATCAAAGCACTTAAAAAAGCAATATATGGGCATTAAAAGAAATTGGCAATTTTATTATATTTGTTTCTGTAAATAGCCAACATCTGGCTTAATGTGCAATCACTATAGTAAAAATGCTGAATACCAGCTGCATATGTAAATTCGTGTTCTTATTAAGGTTAGAAAAAACTCAAATAAAACTAAATTTTAGCTGTTCAATGTAAATTTTAATAAGAACACGTTCTTACTACTACTTCTTACTACATTAAAATGATAGTAAGTCTAGAATGAAACGAAGAAGCTGATTGATGAATTAATCAGAGAATTGATTAATCTAGAAATGAATAACACAAGAAAACAAAATAAATTTTAAAAACTACATTTAAAAATGTTTTAATTTTTGTCAGACCTAAAATGGATATCAATTCTTAACTTAAGGTCTCAGAAAAATAAAATTGTTTCCCATTTAGCCCACTTGAAATTGTAGTTGTAATAAATTTTTATTTGTTGCTTTTAAATGTCTATAAGAAGTTTGCAAACCAGCTATTATTTTTACCTACATGTTTTTGATAAATTAAGGTCAGAGTAATTTACCGAAAACTTACCAATTAATGTAACTAAACATTGCAAATTTGAAACAGAAGTTAATTATTAAAAAAAATATTGTTATCGCCGCAAGGCGATCACAGGTTACCCATTGGTGAAATGGTTCTCATTTTTTATTTTTTTTAAGCAACTTTATTGTGCTTTCATCTTGGACGTCTTTAAGTGTTAATCCTGAACTGCTCAGTACATAATTTCGCAGACGTATTTGAATGTAGCTCAGACGCATTCTGTGTAAATTCTTTTGAATAGACATTGAACAGCCAATCGAGATCAATATTAACATTTTCGGATTGGTACAATGGTGTTTGATGGAGATTGTAAGCTGCATCATTAATCCGTTTCGGATTCACAAGTTCATACATGAAATATGATTTAAAAGCTAGGCTTTTTTTCTATTTTACATGAATAGTGTATGAATAATTTATATTGCGTGGAAGGCAGTCATTGGGTAAGTTGATAATGAATTCTTTTATCCTTAACTGATGATCAACAACCAGTTCTCGTATTCGCATGAAAGGGGTTCGGAGAGTCACCATTCGCTCTTCGGTAGGGTTCAATTCTCTCAACCACTTTGGTACTTTTGTGAGGGATGGGCTTTATACTTGCGTTTGCGAACGAAATCCTTTCGTTTTTCCGTTTGTGGGTAACGCTAAAGATCTTCCCATCTACGTTCTTTGGCTTTTTCAGTCTCGGTAAGTTTAGGCCATGACATCGTTTTTTTTTTTTTTTTTCCTTGCTTCAACTCTAACTTTTCGGACCGCGTAAATCAGTCTGAACCCTCTTTATTTGTGATATTCACCTGAATTAGTATTGAAAACCAGCCAGTTTGACCTGTAGGTTAGATTTTCTGATTCTTAATTAAAACAATAAAAACAAAAATATCGTTCAAATGATGAAATTCTCTTTTATTCACAACTCAAGAAGTATTTGTGGGATCTCTCTGGTCCCATATCTCAAAAATAAACTCACCAACTTAATGCATTGCAAAAATTAAAAGTGAAAAAAGGAATTCTAAAAAAATTATCATACAGCAGCGGTCGTCATAAAAGTAATATTATTACTAGCACTTTATGAAGTCAATCATTCAAACATTTACATTACTGAGCAAAGAGATACAACATTGTTAACATTTTCTACCTCAGCTATTTTAAAATTGAAGCACATCTGGGTCTAACCCTAGTACTGCAGACACAAAAATTAAGTACTTTTTTCTGTTTCAAACATAATTAAATACTTCATTTCACATAATTAAATTTATTAAATGCTTATTGGTACATCATAATTAAACCTCATTTTTGTTTTGTAAAGTGAATAAAATATGCTAGGCTGTTACTAAAATAATAATGCTTCACACTAATGTTAGCATAACAATTTTTAAAATCCACAACCTTTACCATCCATTTGATGAGCTATTAGCTATGATTTCACCACACATCTGGGAAATATAGGATGGTAAATAATAACAATAGGTAGATAATCGATAAATTTAAGAACTGAAAATGATTTTATTTGCCAGCTTTTCTAAAAAATAGCAACAAATAAACATCCGTAAATTTACTATCTTATTACAGTCCACACTTGATATATAGACCCCGATAAACCCAAACAAAAACAAACGCTATAATGTGATTGCACTATCTTTTGAAAATAGAAAACTAGACCAAATATTTACTTATAATTAATAAATACTGGACTTAAGAGAAAAACATGCTATGCATTAAAAAGAATTAGGAAACTACAGGAATAATTGACATAAACTAAGTTTTTTTTTTTTTAGTATCAATAAAGTGCAAGTATTAATATAATACATTAAACGTTCATTTAATTTTTTTCAAATGACATCTTTTAATATTATGAATAATTTTTAGAAAGTCATTCAGTGTCTTTTTTAGATTTCAAAATTCTCTTTCACAAGAACAATGGCTTTTCCTGTCTATAGAATTACATCACGATTTTTAATCATTAAAAAGCTTTCCAGGATTTTGAATATTTTAAGCAATTTGTGATTTTGGTGTAAATCTTCTGTCCACTTCCTTGAAAATATTTAACTTATGTTCTAATCATATAGCATTTATCAGTTAACGAGCAGTCAATTTTGCTAAAATTCATCATACATCGCATTGGTCATTATAATGGGAAAATCACAGAATAGACTGTATAAAAATAGTGTTTTGCTATGAAAATTATAATGCTGTATGAAATGGAGACTCTTTGTATTTCACTTTAAGAAATATTTGTTGGCAGTCCACGATTCAAATTATATAAAAAAATTTAATTGATTTTTTTTCAACAACAAGAAATATTTTCTTTTAAATATGTTTTATGACAGCTTAATTCACAACATAAAAAGCTATTAACATAATCTAAAATTTTACAACTACTGCTAATGTAAATAACCTTTTTAAGCCTAAAACTGTATAAAATTTCAATTAAAAGAAAAGTACTCACACCAAAAAAGGATAATAAATTTAAACATTTTATTTTAAAGCCAGTTTAATTAATTAGGTAAAATCCTAGTATATGTTACATGATTGGAACCATTCTGAAAATTTTTGCCGATGCACCACTGCAAAATCACATCACAAATTCCAAAATGAAAAATTACTAAAACGCAATAATTCAACAAATCTCTAACTACGGATATCAAAACTTTATTATCTTCCCGAATATCACCAAATCCACCAAGTAACGTATAATAGGATAAAGTCAATAATTTTTTTTAAAAATTGTTTATTTCCAACAAAAAAATCTAATAACTCAAGCACTGGTATGAATAAGGAACTGCTATAGTTGAGCTATGGCCTAACTATCAATTCCAAATTTATATTTACATAAACAGTGAAACCACAGTTAAGCGGACATTCTTGGGACCGAAAAATATGTCCGTTTACAGGAAGGGTACCATAATATGAAGTTCAACACCGTAAATTGTTTTCAAAATATTTTCAATGATATAGAAATAATTAAATAATCTACATTTACATGGACACTATTTACAAGGATAATTATTTAAACTTTAAAAAATATTTTTTCTGTGCATACATGAAAAAGTTTGATATACATAATTCTAGATTGTAGCTACAGATAAATTAATATAATTTTCCTATTAACACAGATGTTCAAGTTAGTCATATGATACCGAATAGAAGCTTCTAGGCCTCAATCGGTTTCAATTATTAGGTTTATACCCCATAACACCTACCTATCACGTGATAAGAAACTTGGTTAATATTTCTTTGAATGTAAACCTCCCACGATTCACAGAAAACAAAAGAAATCAATGCTTACCTGTAAACTAAGAGATCCTATGGAGTTGATATATTCACAATTAATTATCTAGGTATCAAGTGTCTGAATAAATGTTTAATCTATATGAACACCTTAAAAATTATATTTCTGTTCTCTCTTTTTTTATCTGAATGAGTATTATCATTTTCCCTCCTTTCTTTGCAAAGATAAGGCAAGGTGACAGGAGAAAGATTGATTCTTTAGTAGTGAAATAGCTTAATATTTTTAGTTATGTATAAGGAAAAACATATACATGCTTTAAAAATGGTAAAAAGTTGCTTTTTTATCTTCTTGCAAGTTAAAGCAGAAAAGTTTTTTTTTTCCAATTAAAAATTGTGTCCAGTTTGAAGAGATAGAAAATAACCTTTCGGGGTAAAGATGACTGTTCGTGGAGAACGTACATAATGGTTTATTCAGAAAAGATTCACGGGGAATTAAAAATATGTTCCGATTGAGAGGCGTCAGTTTTGCGGGAGTATCTATAACAGCTTGTTTCACTGTATTATAATTTTCATTAGTTATTAAATAAAATAAAAAATTATGAAAATAAAAATCAATATAAATCAAATTCTTAAGGTGAAACAGGTCACTTACTTAATTATAAAAATTAACTTATGAAACAAGATTTATTCCCCTACTTAAAAATTTATAATTCATATAATAAAAACTATAAACCTGTGAGTAATTCATTCATTTTATTCACAGAAATTAGATAGTAAATTACATTTACTAAATTCTGTTTCACAACACATTCTGTTTACTGCAAGAACTAATAGTAAATAAATAAATTACAAAGAATAATAAAAATCAGTTCACAATTTGTGTGCTTAAAATGAATAACTGCAAAAGAGAATAATTTATAAATTTAAAAATTCACAAAATTATTTAAAAGTGAATGGAGAATAATCACGATTAAAAAATTACACAATGAAGTTAGAACTGGAAACTTACAGCTGCACAACATTGAGCTCAATAACATGACTATAAACGAGATGAAAAACCCACAGCAACATTAACATCTTTTACACATATGTAATGCTTATACATTTAGACTTTGTAACATACACAGATATCTGGTTTATAAAAGAAAAATCAATTTTAAATCTAACATTTACTAAATCATTTGACTAGATTAAAATATAAATTATACAACTCCGCTTATAGGAATGTTTAGACTTTGATCAGTCTTGACCCTTAAAACCTATCTTATTTAAACACAACATATATATGTATTTATGGAATTAGAATATATGAAAATAATAACAATACACTATTTTTTATCATCAGTCAAATCAACATTAATTTTGAAGTATACATATGGATAGTATTCTTCAACGCCAAAACTCGTCAAACCTCCAGGTATATCTTCTATTTGGCCTGATGCTAAGCTGCTATCTAAATGACTGTAAAATTTGTTCAAAAGTTCCCTCAACTTCTTCGGTTTTAACGGCTCCAGCAAAACAGCTTGGAAATTAACGGGCAAACCGTAACGTAGGACAGATTCCACAAAGACTCTCAGAGCTTTAACATGGATCCAAGCCACAAAGCATTCACTGAAGTTGACTTTCAACCATCTAAACAAAACGCTCAACTGCTTGCTCTTATCCATTTTCAACTTAGCATGCTGACTCTTAACGGAAGCCAGCTCTTCCTCAGAATATTTGAACTCACGGACGACAAACTTTTTTTCTCGTGACTTTTGTTTAAACACCTCGACGGCCTTTTTAAACAATGAAACATTATAAAGAGAGTGTTCATTATCTTCAAAGATCTTTTGACTTGATCTGGGTACTACATGCTCGTGTAGACTTTCATAAGTCTTTTCCCAATCCTTCGACAAAGGGTTTGGTACAACTACAAGAAGTGTGGTTAAATACTCAGAATCCAACACGAAATGTTCCTTTTTGACAAGATCACCCAATGATCTTAAGAGAAGACTCCCTGTTTGCTTGCGTTCCAGATTCTGTAAACTCGTCTTTAAGCTATTATAGGCCGAGGCACGTTGTTTAAGATCAGCTTCGATCTGCTGCACCTGTTTATTAATTATTTCAGCAATGTGCATTAGAGGCTGGCGAGCAGGATACTTCGCCATGTCCCAAGAAAAGCGAGTAAGGAATGTGCAAAGATCAACGTTGTTGACGTGCAAATTTTCTTTCAACATTTCTTTTTGATCTTCTAGAATTTCCTCCATGTAAGATACTAACTTCTTAATAATAGCTTCAACATATGAATCTATTTTACCCAAATCATCAGTTAAGCCAACAAGAGTATCGAGAGTTCCAACTTTTAGATCAGGAATATGAAATTTATAGTTATTAGAAACATTGTTCGGTTTCGTTGCGTTATTCAGCTTTTCTAGGGTTTGAGGTCCAGGGGCAGATATGATCCAATACTCAGGCATTTTTAAATTTATCTATCTTTTAATAATCGACAATAAATTTTGTCTACACCTAACACTATTAAATACTCCCTAAGATCAGTTCAGTCAGATCATGTGACTTATTTATTTTGTTTCTAAAAAGGTCATTCTTCAGTGCTTTAACTTTGATCATGCTTACAGCACACTTGATATTAAATTCATTTTCGATGATATTCTGAATTGAAATTCCTTTTAAATCATTTTATGAATATTAATTAATATTGTATATTAATAATCGTCACCTTTTTTAGGAAAATAATTGATTGAACAAATATTTTACTTTCGAGTCTAGTGTCATCGATTAACTGAATCGATTAAACATTCGGCGTGTTCGATGAAAATATTCGCTCTTTTTTGATTGATTGACATGTGTTCAAAGCTACTGCTGTGCTAATTCGAAATTAGTGGAAATTTCTATTTGTTTACACATGTATATCTGGAATTCTGCGGAAAATATTAAAATTCTAGCATATAATCATAGAACTCTTTATCGAAAATATACCAATAGAACTGAATGATATTAAATTTAATTGATGTATATATCTACGTGTGTGTATATTAGCCACATAAATATATTGTAATAGCATATGTGCAATGGGGAAAGATAAAAAACAAAAGAAAAATCGCGATGACAAGTAAGTTTTAGACAAAAGAAAAGGATTTATTAACCATCGTCAAATATATAAGAATTGTCAACTGTAAAAACAGGGTAAAAAAATTCAAAATCAGGTCGTCTGGTTGAATTCGGTCATTTTCACTTTAAATTTTCTTATGTTAATTTAAAAATTCATATTTATTGTTTAATGTCATTATCCTTGATGTTAAATATTAAATCTTTTTTAATGGTTTCGCATCATATCAATAAATTTACTATTCAGCATAGGTTTGATAAGGTCGTAAAGATGATTTGTATTTAAATATAGACAATCATCAAACAATATCTCATTTCATTGCTTCAATTTAACTTCTCATCTTCAGAGAGTTCTTTAACTAGTAATTGCAGCATTTATTTTTAATTTATAAAAGATTTATTCTAGTTTTAAATTTAAAAGCTCCTTTGCCCACCAAGAAATGTCTTGCTTGGGTTCTTTGAGCATTAATTTTTTTTAAATAATTTTACGTTGTCAAAACATTCTAATTATATTTGTGTTATTTTTATTGATATGATTTGTTTATGATTGTCATAAAAGTTGAATTGGATGTATGACTAAACTACAATACAATCTTTTCATAAGTATTGAAACTAATTTTCAATTGTTTCATTTAATATTTGGATTTTATATTATACATTAATGTTTGGTTTTTTTTATACATTATTTATTTTATTTTTATGATATAAAATTGTAATTTTTGTATAATACAGTAATTAAAAAATTCAATTAAAAGTAAATATGTTTTACTATTTTTTCTTAATCCCTATGTACGATTCTCCTTTTAAATTTCAAATATTCTAATTACATAATTTATTTTGAAAAATACTTTCAAATAATTACTGTTTCTGAATTAATTATCATATTAGTTGCTAATGATTTAAAACTCATTGAACTTCTTTACAGATTTGTTGTATGAAAGGCTGTTTATTTCTCCTAAATTGGAGTATTCATTTAGGAAATAAAGCTTTGTCTTTATTTTATAATATCACTGTTGCTCTTGCAACTCAACCAAATGAAATGAGTTTTTGAAAAATTAAGAAACTCTTATTTATTTAATTATTTATTTTTTTTATATACAAGGAAAATAAAATTTGATGGATAACACAAAAGGATATCGGTCATTCAATGTTTGTCTAAAAAAATCAACATTCTGTTCTATTAAAAAAGATGTGATTTCACTTATCTATTTTGAAAATCATTATTTAACCTGGTTGTAACTGATAAAAGCATTGCTATTAATATGTTATTAACAAAGAAATAAATTCTTTCTTTTTTTTTAATAAGATCTGACATTGTTAAATAAATAAATAATGTTGTAAACATTGTGAAATTGCCAACTTACTGTGTTTATTATTTAATCCTAAAAGTAACTAGATTTCTATTGTAGTTTTTTACTCATAAAAAGTTCATTTATGATAAAAGAAAAAAAATTAGGTTCTTCTTTATATAGATAATTCTATATAAAGAATGATGTAATAAAGGGTTATTGTGCAGACACTCTCATCAAAACCTGAAGTCTAATGACTAATTAAAATCATTATTGCTCTCTTAAAATTATATGTTTTTATCAGAGTTGGAAAATACCCAGGGTTTTTTATTTTTTTAAAAATAACCTGTGGGTTTTTTAAGATATCACCTAGTTAAAACAATTGATAAAAAATAACAATTGATATATGGGCAGATTAACACTTTGGCTTTTTTTTAGGTTTGTGGGTGAGTCAAAAACCCTGGTTTTAATGAAATAACAGTTCTTTATTTCAAAAAATTAAAATTTAACCTATAAATGTCTGTGTTGTATACATTGGAATTTTGATAAATACTGTATTTATACCTCTATTACACATTTGCTGATTTAATGAACCAAAATTTTTACAAGTGTCTTTAAAAATTAGCATATTTTTATCTGAATTTAAGAATTTGAAATTGGAGATTAAATATTCTTTGAAGTTCAAAAAAAAGTTTGTGTTGACCTTTTATTTATTTATTTATTTATTTTTAATTGATAAAAAAAAAATTTATAATTAGTAGATCGGTATTATAGACATTCGAAACTAGTTTTAGATGAGACATGTAGAGTTTTGGTATTAAAGTCTCCAAAACCCATATTGTGGGGGGGAAAAATTTATCTTAATCTAAAATGTAAGCCCATAGTGTCTGAAATCGAAAAATAAATGTCTGTATATATTCATAACTTTGAGTTTAAAATATATTATCTGTATAAAATTATAATTCATAAAAGATTGAATGATTTTTAAAAAAAAAACATTTATTCTTTTTATTTATTTATTTCATGCTTATATATGTCCCAGATTTCTGATTAATGATAATTGTTTATTTATTTTTTCCTTGTTGTTTTTGCAAATTTCTTTACTCACTTAAGATAAAATTCAACTACAATATCTGGTTATTCCACAGTTTAAAATAGAAATGTTTACCGGAAATATTTAAATATGATGTGATGTTTGTGTGTATGCTTAATAAATATTAATTTATTTTATTTATTGCCCTTTAGATTTGAAGATCCTGAGACAGTATCCAATATTGATTCTAATCCAAAAGTAAGCTTCATTTTTTAATCATTTTTCTTAATTATTTCTATACAAAAAGCCATATCTATTTTTATATTGCATTATATTTTTCAAATTACCCTATATCTTGTGAGCCGCAATGGCTCAGGGCATAGAGCGTTCAACTTCCAATGAGGTGAACCCTGTTCGAACCCTAGCGATGATTGGTCGAAACGAATTCTGCATCCGGCTTGCACCGACCACAGTGCTGTTGTGAAATATCCTCAGTGGTAGACAGATCATGGATTAGAGATAGAGACCCCTTGCCTTTAGGCTCAATTTGGGAGGTACTTGTGGTTTTCCTCTCCATGTGATGCAACTGCAGGTTAGTTCCATCAAAAAATCCTCCACGAGGGCAAATATCTCCCAATTCTTGATCCAGGAGTTCCCTTGTCTTCTGGATTGTGTTCAAAATTACAAGACTATGTAGTTGGACATTAGCAGTCATAAACCCGGAAATTGGGTCGGCTGTTCAACGACGGTTATAATATATCTTGGTGTATAAGTAGACTCTTCAAACAGGGTGTCTACCAATCTGGAAAAGTCGGGGAGATATTTATGTACTGGAATAGTCAGGGAAATTTGTAACTTTCTTTAGAAAATGTGAAAAATTTCAAAAATAAAATAAACCAATCTCAAAAGATTTCTTTTTCTTTATTTTTTTAAAGAAAGAAATGTTTTTAAGATTGACCTCAAATGCAATTTTTCTTCCATCTTAAAACTGCTAAAAGAAGATTTTTCTTTCTTAAGCCAGTTCTTCCCACCTTTTGTTCTTTATTTATACTACTACACATTCCTATCTCCCCTGGGGTTAGAGGTTCCCCCAATTTTCTTTTCTAAAATCTGTTCTTCTACCCACCTTTTGTTCATTACTTCTTTTCTCCTGCAAACTCCTGGAGGCTGGTTGTCCTTTTAACTTGAATTGTTTACCCCATCCTCCGTCAAATAGGAACAAACAACGATAGTATAATCTGTTTTTATGAAGAATTCCCTAACCATTCATTTAGAGTTGTGGTTACAAGATAAACTATTTATATATATANATATACACACACACATATACAAGACATGTTTTGACTCAGAACAGTGACATCGTTAAAAAATGCAGCTCAAAAAATACAAGACATCATATACAATTTGTTTTGGATTATCTCCCTTCTTTAAAAATGACTTACAAGCTGAACTTTTCTCTTTAGATTCATATATTATATGCTTTGATGAATGGTCAAATGAACATGTTAGATTTTGGTAAAATAAAAATATGAATGTTGTTACAACACGATATTTAACAGCAGTTTTCCTTGGTTATTCAGATGCAACATCTGTATTGAATGCTCTAAGAAGTTTCTGTACCATCTTCAGTTATGAAAAAATATTCTAATTATTTATGGATGGTCCTATTGGGAATCTGAAACTACATTCATTTGTATAAAATGATTTAAACAAGAACTTTGCCTCAAATGTCTTTTGGATATTGGATTTTGTGGTGTCCATATTGTCCATGGTGCTTTTAAAATGGGTTATAAAAGTACACCTTGAGATCTAAACAAGTTTCTATGTGCTATATTTAATTTTTTAAAAGATTCACCAACCAGACGAGTTAATTTTGTGCTCTTAACAAACCTGGATGTTTTCCCACTTAAATTTTGCTCAGTTCAAGTGGGCAGCAAGAGAGCTCAGCTATAGGGCAAAGGGCTTTAGATATCTTGCTGTACTTAAGAGTCTTTATTAAAAAGACGGAAGCAAAAAATTTTGAACTAAGTACTAAGACTTATGATACAGTGAAATCAATGTTAACGTGCAGTGTGCTTTTAGAAGCAAAATTAGGTTTCNTTTTTTTTTTTTTTTTTTTTTTTTTTTTTTTTTTTTTTTTTTTTTTTTAATAGTAAGGTATTAGGCTGGTGAGCCAATAGTGCCTTTCCTGTATAAAGAAAAGTATTTGATGCTTCACAGTTCTGTTCTGTTTTTGAGATCAATCAAAAATTCGGTTTTTGAGTTAAACAATTGTGCAATGAAAGTTGATGTTATCCAGAAATGTAATTTTTTACTAATTACTAATGTGGACATTAGTTTTGCAGTAAGGGAATGAAAATAAAGCATCAGATACTCTTAAGTCTACTTTTGAGAAAGAATGTCTTTCATTTTTACAAAAGATGACTCAAATTTGTGTAACGAAATCCCCTACATTTGAAGCTTGTTAAAGGTATAAGCTGCCTGCCTCTAACTATTATATCTACTTCAAATTCATCCTGTATTAAGAAGATAGAAATAGCTTTGGATAGTTTTGTTGATTTTGATCAAATGACAGTAGTCAGTGCTAATAAAGTGAAATCAGTATTTTGTAAGTATAAACTTGCTTTTCCTCAGGTTCAAAAGGAAATATCTGAGTTCAAATGTAAGAGTGAAAGATTAGATATTTTGTATTCTTCATTATTGGCTGAAAACACAAGCTATCAAAACTTATTCATGTTTATAAAAAGTATTTTGATTATGTCACATGGTAGTGCTGCTGTTCAGAACAATTTTTTATTGGTAAGGTTTTGCTGATTGAGATCATGCAAGAAAAGTCAGCAAATGCTTTTTGAACTGTTTATGGTATTAGTAATATTGTAGGTTTGTTCAAGGCAGACATAACGAAACAAATGATACTTGCAGCCAGAAACGCTCACAGTTATTATGAAGAGCTAAGAGCGAAAGAACTTCTTGTGAAAGGATCTGAAAATCTAGCATCCAAAAAAAAAGGAGGGCTGCTGAACACAAAAAGAATTTAAAGTGGAGGAAAAAAAGAAAATCCAGACAAGCAGGGAAACAAATCGCTGAACTTGATAGCTTGATTAAAGATCTGAGTCATTAATTCTATGTTTCATTGTGATTTTAAAATATTTAGATTTTTTCTGCTTGTTCATATTAATACACTTACTATACTTTGAGCCATGATGGCTCAAGAGATAGAGCACCCGCCTTCCACCCGAAGTGAATCGGCTTCAAATCCCAGCAATGGCTGGTTGATTTGAATTCCGCACTTGGCCCGAACCAACTCAGTGCTGACATAAAATACCCTCAGTGGTAGACAGATCATGGGTTAGAGACCCCTTGTCGTCAGGCTCACTTTGGGAATTTCTTGTGGTTTTCCTCTCCATGTGACGCAAATGCTGGTTAGTTTCATCAAAAAGTCCTCCACAAAGGGAAATATCTCCCAATTCTTGATCCAGGAGTTCCCTTGTCTTCTGGATTGTGTTCAAAATTACAAGACTGCGTAGTTGAACATTAATAATCGTAAACTCAATATTTTGGGTAGACTGTTCAATGGCGGTCATAAAATAAGATAACACTTTAAAAATTGAAAAACAGAAATATTATATATATATAATATTTTATAAGAGTTATTTCAATAAATTCATTGCTGCTTTATTAGACTATATGGGCAACTAGAAAGTTTTTATTGTTCTTCTAATATTACAAATTAATTTTTTCATTATATATATATTATAAATCCCTTAGACCACTAAGAATTATTTTCTTGTAATTCAAGTTCTGTTACTAAGTTAAGTATGCTACCTAAAAGTAAAGAGAACAATAACCAATGCTTTTTCCTATAGTTGATGCTACTTTATTAGACTATTTGGTCTACTACAAAATTATAATTGTTTCTCTAAATTTTTCATTATCAAAATTTAGTTCTGAAATGTATTGCAATAGCTAAATTTTTTAGTTAAGCAAGCATAACAGTCTAATAATATACTGTGATTTTTGTTCTATCTCTGCTTTATACACCTTTCTCTTCTTGAAGAGCAAGGGTGTTGAAAATTGAAGTTTGAATTTTTGTAATATTTCTAAACTTTGTTGTAATTGTTTTGTTTTTTTTAACTGGGTTTTTACTTAAGGTGATTGAATTAATTTTATAATAATACAATAGTAAAATTTTGTTATTGACAAAATAATTACAGAGAATGACCAGACTAAGGGGGCTTTAACTTCATCAATATATCAATTACATTATTAACATTAAGACATTACAGTAGGACATTATGATTAACATTAGGACACCTAGGGAAATTTACATTAAAGAAATTGTAATTATTGTTTACTTTTTTTTGTTTCCATTTTATTAAATTTGCATTTACTACTTTTTTTAGGAAAAATCACTAAAAAATGGTTCTAAAGAAGATACTCCTCCTAAATCTGTGATTGCCAGTCAATTTAGTGATGAAGAGTCCGAAATAGAAATAATTACATTAGAACAACAAGGAAAAAAGAAAAAGAAGCAGAAAAAGGCGAAATCAAATTTTAGTGTTCTTGCTATTGAAGGAGAATCTGGTGACTCTAGAGGAAATAGTGAAGACGAAGAAGCAAAAGCTGAAGATAAGCCTAAAAAGGAAACCAATGAGTCCTCAAAGTCTAGTTCAAAATCAGGGGCCAAAAAGTCCAAGAAAAAAGACCGAAAAAAGAAGGATGACGATGATGAAGAAGATCTAGAAAAACTTCTTGAAGAGTTAGCTTTAGAAGCTGGGGGTGGAAAACCTGCTACAAAACCAGCTGAAGAAGCTCAGCCAGAAACTAAAACCGAAGAAGTACTAGAAGTTGATAAAAAGGAAGATAAAAAAGAGAAAAAGAAGAAAAAGAAAAATGAACAGCCTCCACCTTCTGTTGAAGAAACTCCTGAAGATGGGACAGTTGAAGCAGATTCAAAAGAAGAAGGTTCTACTGTTAAAACTGCTGCTCAGAAGAAAAAAGAAAAGAAAGAAAGAGAAAAACAGAAAAAATTAGAGGTAAAATAAAGCTATCCATTTTATACTATATTATTGTTATACTTTTTATTGATAAATGTGTCTTCCGTATGGTTTTAAATTATATTCTCCTTTTACCCTCTTAGATATTGTGTAATGACCATAAAATGTGCTTGGAATGAAGTATAAATTAAAGAAGGGGTGTTTCTTTTTTTTAGTTAGCTCAAAAAAAGAAAATAGAGCCTAAAACACAAAAAGAGGAATCACCTACTCCGAAAGAAGTAGAAGAAGAAAAAGATGATGAAGAAAAGAAAGATGATGATGGTATTTCTTTCTGAACTATACTTATTCTCTTTATAAGAGTTGGTGTTAATGTTTTTTATGTTTTATCATGATTTTATGATGATCATCTTAATTTTAAATCATTGTTACGTATTTTCTGTTAATCATTTTATGGTTTTTTTTTTTAATTTTTGCATTATTTACTTGCTTTATGCATGTGAAGATGGAATCTTACACTCAAAACTTCTGATCAATTCAAGTACTCAAATATTTGGGATAGCCTGGCTGATACGGCGATGGGCTCATTTCCAAGAGGTTGTGAGTTCGATCCAGCCAGCTGACGACTCCCTGTGTTGTAAATGGGAACTGTGGCACGTTAAATCTGTCGGATCATAAAGTCCTCCAAGTTCCCATAACAAATCAATACCTCTGGGGATACTGAATTGGAAATTGGTGGTTCTCTGGTTTAGGTCAAAATTACGATATGTGGGTGAATAAATGGATATATGAATAGATCTGACCTTTAAAATGGACTGTGACATGTGTTTGTGGCCAAAATCGTATTTTTATCCATCGATAGCACCACTGAAAAACAAGAAATGAACCTGCTACCTTAAATTTGCTTTGTTTCGCCAAGCTGACATTTAGCAAGTGGCATTAGAAAAAACAACAACTCAAATCTCGATTGGAGGTTGTTTTTTTTGTGTCAATGCAAGTTTCTATTATTTCTTGATAACTACAAAGATAATTTGAATTTATCAGTTGAATTTTGATCACCAGATATTCATAATATGCATGAACACCATTTGCAGAAAAAATTTTAGTATTACTATTAGGAAGAAAATCTTAAGAAATTATGATGCTGTAAAGATACATGTATCACTCTTTTCCTCAAATTTTAACATCAAGTATGTAATTTGATTATAGTATTTTTTCAGTGATAAAATATATTGTAACTATTCAGTTTTAGTGCTACTCTTTATTGTGTACTATTCTATATTGTAAAATTAGTAGCACAAAAAATCCCAGATTAAAGTAATGAAAATTGGTGGTTCTTATCAAAAAAAAAAACTTATTAAATGTTTAATTGGAATGTTTCTGAGCGAACATTTCTATTACAAAGAAACGCGAGTATAAGATAAATCAATAACTCATTTTATATCTTCATATGATATGTATAGACATACATGCTGATATGTATATAGTAGGGTGCACAACCTTTTTGAATGAAGGGCCACTTGCATATTCAGTCATGTCAGCAGCAAATCTGATAATTATGTACACATAAGTGTTCTAAGCACTAAATTTTTTTATCAGTAAACTTAGTTACATATTTGCAGAAAATTGAGTACTTTTAGTATTAGAATTCATTCAGAAATGAAAAAACTATTTTTAATATAATTTTCCCCTTTTATTAATAATTACTTTGTTAAAATTTGTTAAGATCTATACTTAAATAATAGGTATATAATAGGTAATAAATATACTTAAATAATCTATACTTAAATAATTGTTTCCTGACCACTAAACGTAGAACTTATTGCAATATTATCAACAAAGTGAATATATTGTCATTAAAAGTTTTGACCACATTTTACCACACTTTCCAACACTATAGTTTGTTAGCTCAGTTGAAACTCTATGCCAGATGACAATAAAAATTGCTAGAAAAATTTGCTGTAAACTCATTTGTTATTTATTGCGCCACTGCAGTAACAAGTAAATACATTATTCCTTGTAAATTCGATAATAGGGCATGTTGCTAATTTATTGTTAAGTAACTGAAACTGATATTAATTAAATTAAAGTTAAAAAGTCAAAGAAGATTTTTCATTTGATACCTTTCTTTATTTTTTTCCCAGTTTGTAATTTCAGATATTATTTTTTATCAATCTTTAATATTTTTTCTGATGATAAAGTTTTCCTTCTTTTATGGTTATTATTTTTTTTTATACGTACCAATTCCAATATGCGTTTGTCTTTTTTGTTGAGGTGTGACATTTTTTTCCAATCAAGTCTTCAAGTCTTTCCAATCAAGTCTTCTTTCCTGCTCATTTTGAATGGTTGAAATTTTATGTATACATAAATTGTTAAAATTTTTAGTTGTTTGTTTCATAATGAGTATTATTCTGATGTTAAATGTAATTCTCTTCATAGATGTTCAATTTTCTATAGTTTTCCATCAGAATTGTTTTTCTTCGCAACTTTTGCTTATATATTTTTAATTTGCAGTTTTTTTATTACTATTTTATGAAGAAAAAAATTTCATTTTAAACTCTCCTGCCATAGCAGTGGCAGTTTTGCATTTTATTTATTTATTTTAAAATTTAAATGCCAAATTGCTTAGATATTTTTCTACATTTGGGTTATTCTTGAGTTATTAACGAACTTCTTACTGTTTTTCTCAGATGAAGGAGATAGTAAAAAGAAAAAGAAAAAAAAGAAAGGTGAAGAAGATGATAAAAAAGATAAAAAGAAGCCAGGCAAAAAGCAGGTATGAAATCTAATGTAACACAAATTTAACTTTTTTTTTCTTTGTTTATTTTCTTTCAAAGTTTTCTAACATGATATGAATGTTTTAACAGTGTATTTTTAAGTCTTGTCTAACTGCTAGATGTTATTTTATCATGTTTCATACGTTTAAAATTGATTATTTTTTGCTTTATGTTAAGGAAAACATACTTATAAGAAATCGGGAGGCAAATTTAATAGAAAAAGCAAATCTTGCATGCACTCAAAAAAATTCAATTCAATTTTTTATATACAAGCAAGAAAATATGTATGGTAAAAAATTAATTTTGAAAAATTCGTCATTTGTTTTCTAATTTTATTGGTGATCTTTTCAAATATTTTGAGGAAATATTTCAATGAACCAAATATTAATCAGTTGATATATTTAATTTCATAATAAAAGTAATAGCTATAAGTTTAAAATTTCAGTGGATTCCTTAATTGTACCTAGCTCAGACTATTCTCTCCTTAGCTTTTCTCTTTGTGAGCCATTTAAAGCCAGATAATTAAATTTCAAATTTATTTTTTATTTATTTATTTATTTTAATTTTTTTGCATACTTTAGTTTGCATTCGCTAACAAATTATAGCATTGACCATTGTGAACATAATTATTTCTCAAATAGCTCTACGGATGTCCATGCCAGGATTTTTTGCTACTTGTAGTTTGTATAATCAATATGTTAACTGTAATATATGTTATTGATTATACATTAGTTTAAACATCTGTTATTATTTGATGTGATAACTTGGTGTTGCTGATTCTACTTTTTTTCTCTTCTCTGTCTTTTCACTACTAATGATCTTCAACTCATTTCAGTTGTACTTCTGATAGTTTTCTAATTTAAAATTTAAGTAATTCTGTACTTATGGTCCTGAAATCCCTGTGACAGAATTTTTAGGCTTTCTGCAACAAACTTCCCTAGCACTAATATTTTGCTTTAAGATACTTTTAATTATAACAATTATTAATTTAAAGTAACAGAAACATTGTGTTTACTGAAGAAAGTATAGATTAAAAGTGTATAAAAAAATTTTAATTGTGAAAGTAATATTTTTTTAAATTCTAATATTATTGGCGATATTCTCGCATTTTGTAGGCAGAGAAATGCACTAATTATTTCTTCTCACAAATTTTGTAAATCATTACATGAATTAAAATTCTTTGTAGGAATAAATTTGCAAAATCTGTGCAGTAACTCCCAAAATATAGATAACGGATCACGCGAATAGGACTCTGTAAAAAAGAGATACTCAAATAAGTGTATGTAAATTATGGCATTCTTTAAAGAAAAGAAAAACTGAGAAAAAAAACATCATTTCTAGACCGAACTATCTTTTAATTTTTTATTTTATATTATTAATTTGAAATTCTAGCTGAAGCCATTCATCATGAATTTTTTTTATAAAATTTCAAATGAGAATAGAAAGATATGATTATTTCTTTCCTCTTTGATGCGCAAAAAAGACATCTTTGAAAAGAAATTCTGCAGAAGAAAGAAGAAAACATTTTTCGAAAAATTATGCAGAAAGGAAAACCAAAATTTTTCCCTTCCCAAAAGAAACATCTTTTTGCAAAGACTCTAACATTCTGCAACAATGTCACCGTAATTCTGCCATAAGCCCTAAAATCACTTATAATTATGTTTTCTTGGTGTTGCTCCATTTTATTAAAATTAATAATAACTTTCTGCTTTAAACTTTTGTACATGACTGTGATATTACTTGTCAATTTCTCTGTTTAGTTAAAAAGATCATTTTTAAAAAAAAGTATTTTGTATTTTATATCTTAAAGAATAATAAGATTATATTTGTTTTATGTATAATATAAGAAGAAGTAGAAATATATATAAGAAGTAGAAATTCGTCAATTTAACTATATTGTAAATTCATTGATCTGTTTATACTGTTTAGTTGGCTGCTATGCAAGAAGCATTAAAGAAGATCAAAGAAGAGGAGGAACGTATGAGACTCGAAGAAGAAGCAAAATTAAAAGCTGAAGAGGAAGCTGAACAGCTACGTTTGGAAAAAGTATGTATTAAGCTAATTTAATATTGAATATTTTTGTTTATTTATTATTCTTTAATTTTAACTTATAATTTATTAGTTTCGAAAAAAGAAATTTTATAACAAGAGTATATAAATTTTTCTTTATACTATATTATTAAAAAATTTGACTAGTTTTTTTTTATTGCTTCAATTCCAAAAAATAGAGGAAAATGCTTTCTTGCATTGTACTTTTTATACTTCTTTAATATAGAAATGTTTCATTTCATTCTCAGTTTCACCATGGTTGTAAAAAGGTTTCTTCCTTACAATGTAAAGATTAATTGTACCCTTCTTTACTTTCTTTTATTGTATTATTTATTGTTAACTTTTTTCTTTATTAAATATTTTTTAAATTTATTTATGCATTTATTTTCAAATAAAGAACATTTTTTAAAAACTTCAATTTTAGTTCCGAAAATTTATAGGAAGTACAATTCCCTAATTTCAATTCCTCATATTTCACCATCTTTTGTTAATAGTGGCATTTTAAATTATTTATTAATTACAGCTAAGATTAGAACAAGAAAGGAAGGAGAAGAAAAAACAGAAAGAGAAGGAAAAGCGGGAAAGACTAAAAGCTGAAGGAAAATTATTAACTAAGTCTCAGAAGCAAAATCGGGCTCGAATGGAAGCTACACTCGCTGCCCTCAGAGAGCAAGGTGTGATTTTGATCTCATTTAAATCATGTTTCTTATTGAATTCCTTATTCACTCTTATAAAGTCTGAAAATTTGATCTGTTGTTATTTGGATACTGTAATATAGCTATCCTGTACTTCTTTTACTTCAATACTGTAGATCTTTTTCTTTTATTCTCAAACTATTATTTAAAAATTGCAGTTGTAATGTTATTCTCTCATTTAATGCAATGCTATTTTCAGTCTTATTATTGAAATACTATAACACATTTTATTCTATATAATTATTTATTCAATATAATTTCTTCTTATAAGCATTATTTAAAAATTGTAGTTGTTGTATTATTCTCTCACTTTATGCAATGCTGTTTTCAATCTTATTATTGAGATACTATAACACATTTTATTCTATCTTAATCCCCTTTTTTTGTGAAGCACTCATAATTTTTACTGTTATTTTGCATTATTTTAATGATTGCTTCTAAACAGTTTTATGTAGTAAAAGCTTTATTAATCAAAATTTTCTACGTATACTGTTTCAGGAGTTGAAGTCCCCCAAATTGGAGAGAAGAAAGAAAAAGCACCTAGGCTTGGTGATCGTAAAAAAACTCCTAGAAAGAAGGCATCTTTGACTGGTGAGATATTTTTCTAAACAGTGCTCAATTTCATTAATTTCTCTCTCATGTATGTGTAATGTTAGTCAGTTCAAAATAATCTTCTAAGGAATGAATGTTATTTAATGTTAATGCAAGTTGAGTGGAAAAACAAAAATATTTTGAAGAAAATTGAGAATCAAAAAGCTTTCTAAAACATAATTTATAATGAAAACCTTTTTATTTGTCTATGTTAGTTTATGTATTCTAGTAGTGCAGAACTTTTTTCAAAATGAGACCCACTGATATAACATTAGTGTTTTAGGGCCACAAACTGTGAAAGGTTTTTTGTTCATTAAAAGTATTTTGAATAGTCGCAAGAAAAATTAGTAAAATTTAAAGGAACTAACTGGAATTTAAATTCATTCACGCTCATTTATGTAGGAATCTACAAACACATGTCTGTAAATATAGATATAGATAAAAAAAAAAAGTTTGAAAATGTCTTGAGGAATTATCCTACTTAAAATGAAAAATAAATAAATAAAAATCTAATATATATTTATTTGAAAAACTTGCTAACTCACTGTATATATATACACACATACATCAGCCTTTCATCCCATCAGTTGATTGTTAAAATGAGAACCAAGCATGCTTGGGGACTAAACACTGGTTATCTGCTCTTGCACCCCAGAGCCCAAGGTCAAGAAAACTGAGGTGGGCACAGTAGACCTTGGCTGTCATGGCCACTGAATTAAGTTTATATTTGTATATTAAGAAATTATAGCCAGCTTTGATGTTTTACTTAGTATGAATTGTATCTTTTGCTATTAAATCCTTAAACTATACTTGTTTTGAAAGCGTTGTGATTAAAAAAAAAATTATCTGCTTCAAATTTTTGAACATAATTTCTTTGTTATAATTTAGATGTTATGGGATAATTTATTAAAAAATTTCTTATTTTAATTACATAAGCAATTTTTAAAATTTTTGCTAGAAGATGTGGCCTGGATATGAACTATTCTCCGGCCATATTTCACTTACAAGGTCAAAGATTGTGCCCCTATGTAATTTATGTAATATCAAAATACTACCAGTGCAAGTTGATCATGTGATAAGAGAGTTAATTGGAAATTACCTAAATTTAAGACGATCTATTCCAATAAGAATTGTTGTTGCAGATTTTTCTTAAACACCTAATACTCTGTTCAATTACTGTATTAAAATTTTATCCTTTTTAATAACTGTTAATAAGTATTATTAAATAATTATCTTACTTCCAAGTGCCCTTGAAAGTAAAAATTTTTTTAAATTAATGATTATTTGAAGAAAAAAAGTTCTGATTTTAAAGTTAGATGCGTCTTTTCTTTACTGCAGAAGACACCCTTGAAACATCTAAGCCAGAAGATCAGAAAGAAGAATCTCCTGAAGTGAAGGAAGAAACACCCGAAATAAAAGAGCCCACACCTGTTCCCGGTGAAGAAGACAACATCAAAGATGCCTGGGATGACACTTCATCTGAAGATGAGGAATTAGAGAAACAAGATGCAAAAGGTGTCAAAAAAGTTGAGATCGTAACATCAAAAACTGCTAAAGGTGCTGAATCTGAAACAGAGTCCTCTGGTAGTGAAGATTCTTCCGAAGAAGAATCGGATTCAGGTGAAGAGAGTTCCGACAGTAGCTCTGATAGTGATAAAACAGAAGAATCTTCAGAAGAAAAAATACGCTTACGAATTCAGGTATAATTTCTTTTTCAATAAATATATAAATCAATTAATTTAATAAATAAATGTTAAGAAAGCTTAAGGGGACAAAATTGCTCCTATTTAAATTTCTTGCAAAATATCTTAATTTTATCAAAATTAAAATATTTTCTTTATTTACTATCAAGTATTAGCAAATACCTTTCTAATAGTTAAAAATTAAAATGTATGACATTTTGCATAAAGAATTATCAAAACTTGTTGACTTGAATAAGTACTATAATTTTGTCCTGTAAAAATAAGCACCTTTTTGGTATTAGGAAATATTTCCAAATGATACGTTTAGGTGATTGTTATTTTATGGTCTTGTCTCATTCACTTGTTATGTCATTAATAATTTCACTGTTACTAGAGATAATGCAAAACTTTAGTGGCAAGCAATGAAGGGTAATAAAAGTTTTATTATTTCACTTATAAAAAGTTTTACCTTTAGCTATCTATGAATTATGCTTTAAATACTTACATTTCATGTCTGAAGTGATAAATCAAATCAATCATCGGACAAAAAAGTCTTCCTTTTGTTTTTTTCTTTTACAAATAAAATTTTATGTTTTTCTACCACTTGACCTGTTTTGTTGGTATAAAACCTTTTTATAAATTCCTATTAGAGTTTACTTGTATCTGTCAAATATATTAATTGAATTGATAACTAGAAAAAAGATAATATTCCTTACATAATGAAAAGGAATATTATCTTTTTTTCTAATTACTCATTCAGTTATAGTATTGCTTTGTTTTATTATTCTTGTGATGGAAAAACTTAATGTAAAGATGATTAGAAAAGGGATATTGGTTATAATTAATTATTTTTTTCTAATCACACATTCAATCACAATATTGTTCTTATTTATTCTTTTTTATTGGTGTAAAAGAAATACAAACTGTACAGCTCCTTATGATTTTCTGTTGGATATAAACAGGAAATCAGTTTTGATTGAGTCAATGAAATTTTATTTTGTTTTCAGAAACGACGAGAACTTGCTGAAAGCAATCGAAGCCTGGATAAATTGCGATCTCCTGTAGTTTGCGTTTTAGGTCACGTAGATACTGGAAAAACTAAGATTCTTGATAAAGTAAGTAAGGAAAAAAAACTGAGCGTCTCCCGTCTGAAAGCAAACCAATATTTTGAATAAATTACTAAGTCGTCTTATTTTTTTTTTCTCCTTCTTTCAAATTACAGATTCGTAGCAGTAATGTACAGGATCATGAAGCAGGAGGTATTACTCAACAAATTGGAGCAACAATGGTTCCCCATGAAGCTCTTATGGAACAATGTAAATTTGTCAAAGGGGTGAGTAATAATTTGCCCTATTTATTTATGACTTTTATCCTTTTATTTTGCTGTTTCTATAATAATAGCATTTGAATGATCAATTTGATGAGGGGGGGATTTCACCTGTGAAATATGTATTAATCAAAATATAAAAATAATTCCTTAGTTAAATTTATTGAACAATGGGATTATTTAAAAAGTGTTTTTACAATCAAAATAATACTCACATTTTTTTATTATTATTATTATTAAAGTGATGACATTCTATTTTGATAATTATAAAAACTAACATCCATAAGCATTTTATTTATAGTTAAATATCATTAGGGTAGAGAATATTCTTACCAAATTGATAGTGCTATGTAATAACTTTTTATGACTCAACCTATTTCTTTCCAATTTGAAAACATCAAAACTTACTAATGTTTTTATTTTTATCAAAGTTATAATTTTAAATATTAATTTATTTTTTTTAATTTTTCTTTTGGCTTTAAGATTAATGCTTTAAAAGCATTAGTCATCTACAAAGTAGAAACTGACATAAAGGAAAGTGCATAAATTTTTTTTATGAAATGTATAGAGCTGACTGTTCAAACTTAAGTTTGTGTGCCAAGAAAGAGCGTGTACCATTTTAACTGTAATTGCGTATTTATCCCTACTATTTATAAAAAAAAAATTATTTTTTTTAGTTTGCAGAGATGGAATTGAAAGTTCCTGGACTTTTGATTATTGATACACCTGGTCACGAATCTTTTAGGTATTTAATTGCTTAATAGTAAAATTGAAATAATTTTTAAGGTAACTGTAATTTATAGGCTTTCTTTTCTTACTTTGTCTACATTATTAATTGGAAAAAAATTAATGATAAAATTTAAAGCTTGCATAATGGTTAATTGAAATTTATGATTTAATTTTAATCACTTGCAATCATTTAGCTTAATTTTGTTTTGGAAAAAAAAAGAACATTAGATTTTATTTATTTTACTATTTTTACTTCTTTAAATATATTTATTTGTGAGCATAATAATAATGCTGATAAAAAAAAGAAAGCAAATTCAATATTGGTAATGAAGCTCAATGGATTTTTCTGTAAAACTTTTTCAGCTTAATACTTTTTGCTCTCATAGAAAATATTTGAATGATCCCGTGTATTTCATGTAATGTATGTTATGAACATAGATAAATTATTTGCAAATAATAATGCTTATTAAAAAAAAATTTACAATATATGTTTTTTACAACCCGAAGTTTAAATATATGTCACAAGCTACAGGCTAAGAAGTTAAGTGAAAGATCAGTATAACTTACAAAATGCCTTGTTATAGAATTATTAAATGAAAGTATTGAGCTCTGTTGTATTGTTCTTATTATTCAGTCTCAACAATTTACTTTAAGTTGTGTTTTTAAATTGATAAATATTTGCGAACTTTTTTTCTTCTTTTTTTTAGCAATTTAAGGTCCCGTGGTTCATCTCTGTGTGACATTGCCATTCTGGTTGTTGATATCATGCACGGTTTGGAACCCCAGACAATTGAATCTATTAACATGCTGAAACAAAAGAAGACACCTTTTATTGTTGCTTTAAACAAGGTATGTATTTAGTTACTCATTTTAGTTTTATTATCAATTTAGCAGTTGATCATAATTTTTAAAACTACATTTTTATTTTTGTTGTTTTATTTCTTGGTGCCTTTAAAGTTTTGTTTACTTTAAGTATACTTCAGAATATGTAAATAAGCTTCTAGCTCAAAATATAAGCAAAAAAATTTTTTATATATACATAAATTTCACAATTTAAATATGACTCTTTTATATATATATTTATAATAAGTGTATATTATCTTCACACATTTTCAATCTATAAAGCATGAAACAAATGGCATGTTCTGTAACATACACTGTATTCTCCATAAAACTTTTGTAGTTATTGTAGATGTATTGAAAGTCATTCAATCAATGTTTATAATGACACCTGTACTAATTTATAGCGCTATTTGATATGCTTGACTAAATTGCCTTTATAAATATTATTTTATTATAAGGTGATTTTCTAACTAAAAAATATTTTGAAAATAATTTCCTGATTTATATTCTGTTAAGCAAAGCTAATTTCTTCAGACTTACCCTAAAATTAATTTCAGTTATAATTTTTTTTTTCAATGCTTGCAGTTTGAATTGTTCTTTTTTCACTTAGATTGATAGAGTCTATGAATGGAAAACTTCAAAAAATAAAGATGTCCAGGATATAATTAAAAGTCAGTCTCGTCCAACTAAGCAGTTTTTTGATGACCGAGTGAAGCAAATTATACTTGAATTTGCTAATCAGGTAATCAGTTTCTAATTTTATTTTTTCATGTTTATTTTAAATCCAATATCTTTTTTTCATTTGTTTTTTATGTATTCCAAAAAATTTTATTATTATATCCATTTTTTATGCATGTTTTCTTAGATGTTTTGTATTTAATCAATATGTAATAAGTTATATTGTTTAAAATAACATGCATGATGTCATTTCCTTAACTGATATTTATTAACATTACTGGATATAAGCAACTCACCATGTTATAATCCCTCTGTCCTTTCTTATTCACACATCATTCAAGACTTTTGGAAACTGGCCCAAAAATAACTGACAGTTTGACAAAATTTAGTTTTAAATTTTGTTAATTACTTTATTATTGCAGATTAATAACATTATTATTGCAGATTTTAAGATATTGAGAATATCAAAATTTTAGTTTTTTAGTTGTTATCTATGCCATTAAATGATTATTCAATTTATTTTATTGAATTCACAGATTTATTATAAAAAATGTCAAAACCATTTTGATTGTTCGCTGAAACTTGAAGTTGTTTCTAAAATCCTGTTCTTAGCCTTGCCTTCCTCAATAATGATTTGCCAATTTTCAATAATATTCTTATTTTTTTGCTATTTTAAACATAAATTAGCAATTCATACTTTGTGTAAGTTTTTGTTTTCCTTTTTGGCAGCAATTTTTTATATATGTGTAGAATATTCATTTCATAAAACTCTATATCTATTTTAAGTAAAATAATTCGAGACATGTCATCTCCTAAGTGCAATTTTGATTCTTAATCTATATTTTTGCATTTTAAGTTCAGCGTTTCATATTTGTTATTGCATTGCTAACAGGATGTGCATCATGTTATGATGTTACAATTTTTATTTTAATAAACAAGAAAGAATTCCCTCCATTAAAAAAAAAACTTTTTTAATATATTTTTAATTCTTTTCAGTCTTTGAATGTTGTCCTTTATTATGAAAACCAAGACCCTCGCTCATATATTTCAATGGTGCCCACATCTGCCCTTACTGGAGAAGGAATGGGTAACTTACAGGCTCTCATTGTTGAACTTACACAATCTATGATGGCAAAACGTCTCATGTTTTCTGAAGAATTACAAGCTACAGTCTTAGAGGTTAGAATCTATGTTTTTTTTAGTTCTGATATATATAAAGTATCTTTTTATTAATGTTCTCATCATTATGTGCAGTAAGTTTTTATTATCAGCGATTGGAAAAGATATTTCTAAATTTACATTCTTTTTTACTTTTTGGTGTTGATTAACACAGCATTTCAATTTTTTAATAATTCTAAATTTACCTCTAAATTAATAATTTTAAATTTCAGCATGAAATATGATCTTATTTATCTAAAGTTATTGACCTTCTCTGGAATATTTAGATTAAGGATTCACCATAATTTTTTAATAAATTTTTGAAAATAAAGTCTTAAAATTGTGGTGCTTTTTTAATAATAATGTAATATGCTTCATTTTAATAGAAGTGGAAACCTTGATGTACAAACTAAAATAAACTAGTACTATTATAAAAAGGAGTGAAACAACGCAAATTATAACTTTTATATTTCTTTAGCTCAACCAAATCAACCCACTTCCCCTGCTAACAAAATGATTAATTATTATTTACATAAAATGATCAATTTGATGCAGTGCAAAAAAAAATTTATTTTGAAAGCTTGAAATATAAACTTGGTAATCAAAAAGCTCTTCACATTCACTTATTAAACCAGTTTATTTCACCACAAAGGTCAAACTTTCAATGAGACCAATGATGTGGCTTTGAAATTTCTTACCATGACTTTATTCAAGCATCAGTATGTGAGGTACAATACTTATAAGTTAGTGGCAACAGTGGCTTTAATACTAGAATAATAATAAGCGATTTTTTTTTTCTTGTATTTTACTTGTGATTGTTTTAAAGCAGATTCTGATATTTAAGATTTACTTCTATAAGTACATTTTACAAACTTACTGTAAAGAACTAAACTTTTGATTTGAACTATTTTTAATTTATGTGTTTCCTAATTTGTTAATATGATAAAAAGCTATATTTAACAAAGGAAATTTATAAAGATTAAAGAAAATATATTTAACTTTAAATTTCTTATTAATTACTTATAAAACATAATTGTCTGAAATTTATTTTAAAATATGTTTAATTTACTATCAGATGTACTGGAAACAAAAATTATGGGTTGGAAGTCAACCTGATTACGTTCATGAACAATTGTTTATTTCACAAACCAATATAAATTATTTAATATTTAACTTAAACTACAAAGTAAATTTTATATTTTCACCAAAATTTGCATAAAACTAAAAGTTTCTAATATAAATGCATTAATCATTTACATATATTTTCAATAAATTAACCAGATGGCTTTAACTGTATTATATTGAAAATATTAAATGACTTAAAAAGAGAAAACAAAGATTCTCTTGAGAGTGTTAAACCCTTTTTNCAAAATACCTTTATATTTGCGGTGAAATTGGTGTAAATAAAACGCGTCAAAATTTTATGTATTTAAATGTGAAATTAAAGTATCAAAATAGGGTATAAAAAATATCGGACTTTCAAAACCTTGTAGATATGTGTAACAATAATTGCCAAAATAACGATTGAAAAATAATTTGATTTGCAATAAAATTGGCACAAATAAACCACGTCAAAAAATGGTTATCTAAATGAGTGATTATTTAATCGCGATTCATAATAATATTCGTAATTCGTAAACTACATTGCGATTCGTAAACTACATTGAGTGAAATTGGGTGCGTCAAAAACTTAAATGCGTAAATTTCAAATTTTTGAATTTTTTTTTATTTAAAAAAAAATTAAAAAAATTTTTTTTTCATTTTGTTCAGATAGCGGTAGCGGGCCGCACATTGAGGTTTGGCGGGCCGCATTTGGCCCGCGGGCCCCAGGTTGTGCACCCCTAATATAAATAATAATAAAGACCAATTTCTCTGGAACATTGATGTGTTTTTATCAACAACAAAAAAAGCTGCTTTACCTTTAAACTTTGATACAATTACATTTGCCTTTCTTTGTGTATTTACTCTTAAGTCTTTTAGAAAATAAAATATAAAGAACAAGTCAATTTTACTCCTTTCATTGAACTTCTTGTAGAGTTGTAAGGTTGGATTTTTATAACACTTTATGTACTGATGTGCAATAAGTTGAATTTCTTATTCTTCTAAAAAATATTGAAGCAATAATGTTTGTTCCTAGAGCTTAACAATGTAATATATTTCAAGCAGTGCTATGATTTTTTTTCAAGTATTGAAGGGCTTATATGCGTTATAGGGCTGAGTAATATATCATGAAATATTGATATTTTTTAATATTGCAAATAAGCTGCAGTGGCTTAGGGGATAGAGCACTTGCCACCCTATGAGGTGGCCCCGGTACAATTCGAATTCTGCAGCCGACTTGCACGTACCCCAGTGTTAACACAGAGATGTCCTCAGTGGTAGTAGACAGATCGTGGGTTAGAGTCCCCTTGCCTTCAGGTTGACCATGTGAAGTTTTCGTGGTTTTCCTCTTATGTAACTCCAATGCAGGTCAATTCCATCAAAAAGTTCTCTGCAGTGGCAAATTTCTCCCAATAGTTGATATAGGAGTTCACTCGACGTCTGGATGGAGTTCAAAATTGCAAGGCTACATAGTTGAACATTGGTAGTTGTAAATTCAGAATTAGGTCGGCTGTTCTACCCCAGTTATAAAATAAAATATATTGTGAATAGTCTCATTGTAAATATTTAGTTTAAGCTCATTAACAGTGATTATATTTTGACAATAATCAACAATTCATAGTTATCGATTACAATAATACTATTGCTATTATCATTCGTAATGCTTAGGGTCCATGAAATGATAAGATAACTATTGTTTACAATAAATATATTGATAATTCTTGAAAGTAATCCTATCACATGAATCGAGCCTTACTATACTTAGCAAATCAAATATTATGTTTTTACTAACTTATTTTTTTAAAGTTGCTATTAATAAAAATATTTAAGGAAATGTGTTTTTTTTCAATTGAGTTATAAAAATATTAAATGTAAAATTAATTAAATTTGTTAAATAGAAAAAATATTTTACAGCATAGCATGAAATATTGAGATTTTCTGACACTGTATCACTATCAAAGTTTTAATAACATCCGGCAGTGAGTAGGATCTGTTTTTATTCGCTCAAAATTATTCAGTATGATTAAATTATTATTCAGTTCCAAATGGAAAAAAAATCTAAGTAATAAAAATTGTAAATTAATAATTTTTATAGCCTCCTCGACAAGCAAATGAAGAAAAGATCAAGCCCAAACCTGAAAGTGTTTAATTTTCCTTTTTCTAAATGAGATTTTTCCTTTACTATGTTGATTAATTATGCAAAAAGACACAATTCACATTGTTCTATTCAGCATTTCCATAATTAATTCAAACCCAATCTATTTCTGAGTATAGTCAGTCTGTAGCGTATGAAAACACCATTCGTTTTACACAATTCAAAATTTCATGATTTTTAACAACTGTCAAAAATAATGCCAAAAGTTTTTTTTTTTTNTTTGACATGACGGTTAAAACAAGATAAAACTCTCAATTGTCACAAACTTTCCGACCCTGCCTAGTTATGATATTTTTTTTAAAGTGCTTAAAAACATTTTTTGAGTGCTTAAGAATTGCCTATTTTTTGTTGAATAATTTGGCTACGCAGCCTGCATTATTTTCTCACAAAAAAAAATTTTTTAAGCATTGCTGCTATTTTTTTTCTCCCTTGCATTAAAAATTACATATATATTAATTCATGATCAACATTTTTCTTCCTCAGACTCAATTTCTTGAGCATCGAGAAGTGGAAGGAGCTCAAGGGGTTAAAATATGTGCTAAAGATTTAGAGAAAGCAATTGCTGGTCTTCCTATACTTGTTCCAAAGAGAGCTGATGAAACTAAAATATTAATGGTGATTTCGAGTTTTCTCTTTTTATGTTCTTTAACTTTACAAGCAAATGTATGTTTTCAAGAAGTTTTTTTTAACTAACATAAATTTCACTAAATTGATTTTCAGGAAGAGATGGCATCAATGTTTAAAGAGACAATGAATTCTATCAAAGTTACAGGTACAGGTGTTTATGTGCAAACTTCTACTTTAGGTTCACTAGAGGCACTCATGGAATTTTTAACTGAATCTAAAATTCCAGTAAGTTTTTTATTTGTGTTTTTAACCTTTAAAAAAAAAAAAATTTAACCCAATAGTATTGAATGTGATCTTAGACTATGTTCTTGTTTCTCTCCAACAAATATTTAAAATTATGTCTTACATTAAAAGTGAAAATTTTAGCTTATACATGTGTGGGTAAAGATAGCAATATTAAAATATTTGCTGGAAATTGAGAGTTTTTATTATGCTATTGAGTAATTGAATTTATAAATATATTATAAGTTGAACCGTCATAAATTTAAATTGTTGGACATGCTTCAAAGTTTGAATTGTATCTAGAAAAGAGAATGAATACATTTTCAACTTATTTCTACAATCGCATTTTTAGATAACAATAAAGCTTGTGATTTACAAAACATGTTTTCTATTATGATAGACTAAATTATTTAAAGTTTTGCTAAATACTCAACTTTTTATATCTTTGTTTTAAGTTAGATCAATTTCATTTTTACTTATTTAAAATAAACTGTTATCTCAGATCATGGAATGTACTTGTAGAATACAAAAATAAATAAACATTATTTCACCTTCAAAATAATCTTCCCCTCAACTAAAATTCATCAAATATGCTGACTTTTTAGGAAATTTATTATTTTCAAAGCTGGTGTAATATATTTGGTGTTTCATATTTAAGTAAATTAAATTCTCTTTTCTAAAGGTTTCTGGTGTTCGTATTGGTCCTGTTACAAAAAAAGATGTAATGAAAGCATCTGCTATGTTAGAACATGACCCTACGTAAGTTAACACTTTTCCTAACTGTTTATTTTATTTCCTACGTATTTGTTTAATAATTACTGCTTGTTTATTACGTAAAAAGTCCTTGACAGTAAACGTGTTGGCAATTGCTATAAAAACTGGCCATTCCATTGTAGTACTTTTTACGAAGAGTGTTTATTCATTAAGTGTTCATTCATTAAGAGTGTTTATTCATAGCCAAAAGTGTTTATTCATTAAAAGAAGAAAGTTTTTCTCATATTTTTGTTAACATTTCATTCTTCTCTCTTACACTTATCATGTCATAGCAACCTCATTAATATGTATTCAAATATAATGAACCGCTTAATAGGAAAACTACTTTATACACTTGTAAATTTGCAAATCCTAAATGCTTCTTGTCGACTATGGAAGTACAGTATTTTTCCAAATGGACAAATAAAAACTTGTCTCGGGCATATTGTTCAAGGGTTTTTATTTTTGTTGATGTAATCTTTTTAACTGTAGTAATTCTAGAAACTTGAATGCTTTTAGTTTGATTGTATTAAGAATGAACATTTTTCAAAGTCTTTAAATTATTTATCTTTTTTACTTTTTTAAAGATTGATTCAGTCATATCATCTGAAAACAAAAATAAAACATTAACTTTATGTGGCTAAAATGTGAGTTTTCTTTTGAATCCTGTATTAATTTGAATTACTGTTTCATTCCTAGTACTCTTTGTAGGTGAAGAGAAATATTTAATTTCCAAACCTAATCCCTTGGTTTTAAATTTTTTTTCAGATCAAACAAAAAGTCTCTCTCTCTATCAGACATTTGAATTTAATGAAATGTTTTTTATAGTTTTAGCAAAGACAAAAGCTCATAATTATTTTAATATAGTCTTTATTGTGAAAAACATTCCATTTTTTTTTTAGAGCGAAAGAATAAAAATTTTAGATTAAGCTTGACATGATTGTGGATTATAAAAATAAATGTATTTATCTTTAACTTTTATTATTTTATTCTGTTTATTGAGTGATGGAAAATTTAAAAACAAAGAGTATCAATCTTATTTGATATTTGTGTTGCTTATTTAAAAAAAAAATGTAGTTTTTTTTAATTTTACAAAAAATAGATCTAGCTAATTTTGAAATCAAAGGACTCAATTGTTTGAAGTATATCTGGGCATCAAACAGTCTCTTAATGAATGGTTGCAAACCGAATTTTTGATCAGTGTTGTATTTCTAATTAATATTAGAATTTGAATGTATTTCTCTTTATTTTAGTTTCGCTGTGATCCTTGCATTTGATGTTAGAATTGAAAGAGAAGCCCAAGACCTTGCAGATTATCTAAATATCAAGATATTTCATGCCAATATAATTTATCACCTTTTTGACATGTTTGTGAATTATAGAACTGAAATTAAAGAGCGCAATAGAGAAATGTATAAAAGTGTTGCAGTATTCCCTTGTAAATTGAAAATCCTGCCTCAATTTGTCTTCAATTCTCGTGATCCTATTGTTGTGGGAGTATCTATTGAAGCTGGAGTATTAAAAGAAGGAACACCCTTGTGTGTACCATCCAAAGAAGTAAGTTTATTTTGATCACCTTGACTAATGACACTTTGAAAATTACTATATCAACAAATTGTAAACAGTGTTTTTCAAAGCTCTTTTGCCAAAGAAAAGAAAAATTCCATATTTAAATGCCTCACACTTGAGCAAAGCTATAATTTTACACAATATATTTAATCTTGCAGTAAAAATTATCTGAGCTTTAGACCAGACAAATAACTTAAATATATTAAAAGTTGTGTAGAAAAATTGCCAGTTTGGTGAGATTTCCCCACCTAGATTAATATTATTAAAATCAATAATTCTCAATAAGCGGCTGAGTACTTTTTGGATCAGTAAAGCTTTTCATTTTCACAAAAGTGTAGCCTTTCTTCATTTTGATGCTTTACGCAATTTTCAAAATTAGCTCAAGAGGACGCCATACCAAAATAAAAAATCCGAACTGGTAAAATCAGTCTTGACTATGCCACACGGGGTGTTACTTTTAGGGGGTGAAAGAGGATAATTGGCAGAATGACCTCTAGAGTGACAGAGGGCCAACTACAACTGTAACATCGTCACATGACGTGTCATATGGTCTAAGAAAAACTGAACAATGTAAGCATTAGTTTCAAAAAGGGATTCTGTGAAATATCCAGAAAAAACATTCTACATATTGATCTAGATTAACTAAAACTGTAAATAGCTAATAGATGCTTAGAAGATAATAGTGATCAACTTATATCTTACAATTTATTCATTTCAAATTAGGACACCCAGAAATATATAAGTTTTTATCTACGTATCTGAAATTAGTGTTTGAAAATAATTAAAGAAACTTAATTTCAATAATTTGCACTAAATAAGCTAAGTAATTGAGCCTGAAATATATCACGAAATATAATTATAAAAATTAAAAATTTCTCAGAAAAATATAATTTCTAAGAATGTAAGCAGTTTATAAAGACATAATATAGAATAGTAAAAAGTGATATAAGTAAAACAAAAATTGAAAAATAATTAACAAACAAAAAATGACAAAAGGAAACAGAAAACCTTTGTTATCACGTATCAACAAAAAATAACACATTTTGTTTTGAAGTAACTTTTTTAATCCTACATTACACCATTTGTATAAATTTTATTTTCTGAAAAAAAGAAATAATAATTTCTCAAAAAATTTTATAATTTATTTTCATTGCTTAATAATTTTTGTGTTTTGTATTTATCTAAGAATTTTTTGATTTTTAATATTCTAACACATACACACATGTATGTGAATTTATAAGCGAATAAAAACTAAAATTAGATTATAATTAAACTAGACCAAAAACAGTTTAACACAAAGAAAAAATTTTTTTTTGTTTTATACATTTCAATCACTTTCACATCACTTATACATTTCAATCACAAAACAGAATGAAAATTATAATAATGTTATGTTATAGTTAGAGTAAACTATGAAGTTTCAAATGCTGAAAGAATTTTGTCAAAATGCAAACAAATTGTGAAAAGAGAACTGTCCCATTTAAAAAAAGCATTAGCTGCTGTTATTGAGAGAGGGAGTATAGCGTCTTCTTAAGACAGCCTTAACTTTACTTAACAGTCGTGAATAGTTGTTGCTAACTTATAATAGTTATAAAAATAGCGTATTTTTTTAAAGCCAAAAAAAAAAAAAAAAAAAAAAAAAAAAAAANAAAAAAAAAAAAAAATTGTGACAATAATGAAAAACAACCTTTTTAACTTTAAACTAGCAAAATGACTTACATTAATTTGAAATCCCATGCTAAGAGCAGAAAGTTTTGTGATACCATTTTTTATTGTCTTATAAAAATAACCTTTTGTTACCCATTATTTTTATTTTAATCATTTACTTAATAGTATTTCTTTAGATCAAATGTTAGTTTTCTTTTTAAGCGAGATTAAAAACATTGAGCCGCATTGATATTTGTAACACCAATATAATATAAACTGTAAATACTTAATTGTGTTTCTTGAAGCTTAAATATGATAGGTTCAAACTGCTGCTAAATTCAGGCTTTTAAATTTATATATTTTTATATCTATCAATCTTAATAAAAGAAATGATTCAATTTATTTTAAATTCTATCAAAAATAAATCTTCCTATGTGTAAGATTTTTTTCCTTTGTATAATGGGATCTTGAATTGTGTTTATTAGTTTCTAGATATTGGAACAGTTACTACAATTGAAGTGAATCATAAAGCAATAGATTCAGCTCGAAAAGGCCAAGAGGTCTGCATTAAAATAGAACCCTGTGGAGGTGAAGCTCCTAAAATGTTTGGACGCCATTTTGATCATACTGATATGGTTGTTAGTAAGGTAAGAAATTTTTGACAAAATCTTATTGTAAGAGTACACAACCTTCTTTTGGGAGTGGGCAGCAGAAACTTTCACTGATCATGATGATTTCAGTTATCAATAATAACTTATTTATCTCTGAGCATTATAAAATATCAAGCAGATTTAATTGACGCCACCAGCTACAGGTTGAACAAATACAAAAATAGCAATTAAAAAAATTTTCTAATTTTCTTTTTTTTTTTTTTTCAAAAATTCACCCTATATGTATTTTATTTTTTTAATAAATATGAAATTATGAATAGTTCATTCCTAAAATTACTTGTAATTTTTACCATTTATTGAAAGGATTAAAAAGAAATGCTTATTGATACAGTTTTTTAATCATTTAAATAAGTTCGCTTTTTATAGGTGGCCACTTGTTATGCAAAGTAGTCTCTGCTAAAAATATTACAGCTGGCCACTGGCTAAATTTCCTAATTTGCCCAATATTATAAAAATAACAATATTAATTTGTCTTAAAGTTAAAAGACAGGTATAATATTTGTAAATTATAAAATGTTTGAAATTTTATGTCTTGTCATCTTTAATAGTAGGATTCTACAAGGTCCGGCTATTAATTTCCAGGACTGACGTAACTGTAGGAGAAAGAAAAGCCGGAAGATGGTGCTAATGATTGAATATTGAAGAGTGTTTTCTTGCTCATGTGCAGCGCAATCGGCGCCATTCTGAAGTGAGTGGTTCTGGTGGAAAGGCGTATTAAAACGGAGCTCTTAAATTCCTGTTGTCGAAGTGAAATGGAGCAGAGAATTAACATTAAATTTTGCTTCAAATTGTGCAAGACAGCTGCAGAAACCTACAAATTGTTAAAACAAGTTTACGGCAAGGAAGCATTATCTCGCTCAAGAACTTTTGAATGGTTTAAACGCTTTCGAACGCGAAAGCGTGGAAGATGATCCGCACACAGTTCGTACGCAAGCCGAAAGCAATTGAAAAAGTTCGCGTCCATGCATTGCGTTTGCCTGTGAGGCGATTCTTAGCTCAGCAAGGTGTCGTTGAGNCATGCAGTTAGTTATTTTGATAATATATATATATATATATATATATATACTCTTGTAGTTTATGCTTGAAAATAAATGTTTTCAACTATATATAATTGTTAATATCTTACTAAGTTCTTTACTAATCTAAGAGTAATTTCGCCCTTTCCTTCTTTTAGATATCAAGGCAGTCAATAGATATGTGCAAAGAACACTTCCGAGATGATCTTCAAAAAACCGACTGGCAATTGATGGTGGAATTGAAAAAGCTCTTCCAAATAATGTGATCAGGATATTAATTAGCTGTTTTAAATTATCGTTCGTACTGTCCCATTCCAGAACAATACTCAACACTGTTAAGTGGAAGGAATTCTATGTTTCGTTTTTAATGTATAACTTTAATAAAACGGTTAACAAATTTGCTTTATGTTGATGTCCATTTTCTTTCTTATTCTATCTGGTCACCTTAAATTCACTGCATCATAAGTACAGACTATGGTTAGCATAGAACATTATTTTTTCTGTCAAGTCTTAAAGTAGATTTGTGTAAAATTAATTGTGTAAAGTAGATCTGTGTAAAATTAAAATTTAGTTTACATTGCATAAGAAAACAATGTCTGAATAACTCTTTACTTAATGATAGGATTATCATGTAGTAAGATGCTATCTCAAATGATTAACCTTAACTATGCTCAATTAATTAGAGCAGAGAATATGCAAAATTGCAAAAACTTATTTTCTCTGTATAAGCATACCCTTTTTCAGTTGATTTCACTTTTTGAGCCACTAGATATGGAGAGTAGATCCATTCTAAAAATATGGTCACAATTATTTGACTAGTATGTTGCATTTATGCATATTATATTCCACCATGCTTGGAATCCACTATATGATACAAATATTTATAAAAGTTGCCAATTAGATAATTCCATCTAAAACAGGGAGGCACAATGTATGACCCACAGACCAAAAGTGGCATCTGAATTGTTAAATATAAATATGCAAGAGGAAAAAAATAAATTTTTTCCAGCCATGTTCTGGAATAGAAAGTTACTATACAGCTTTTATAAAAATGTGATTATTTCATTATGAAAGTTTAATTTATTCAATGGGTTCAGATTTTGCTGCGAAATGTAATTATTTATGCATTTTTATATATAAACTAAAAGAGAAGAAAATTCAGCAAGTCAATAAGATAAATAGTAAAAAAATTCAATATTCTAGCAACAGTCATCACATAAATCTGATACTGATTATTTTCTGAATAATAAAAAATAACTTATAATAAAAAAGTTCTTCAACAAATGACAGCTAACTACAAAAACCATAAAACAATGTATTGTGTTACATGTTTGGCTTCTATGCACTTCTCTGACCAGCCAGGCTGCTCTCCTATCACTATCAAGGTGTAAATTCCCCTCTTCACTAATGTGGGAGTGCTCGGTTCTCTGTGAGCTTTCTACTCATAACAAGGTGTACCTATAAAAGTGGGTTATCTTGAAAATGAGCTGGCTCCAGTGCGATTTGGCATTTTTTTGGGCCCTAAACCAGCTTTGGGAATCTCCCCCACATCATTCAGGGCAACTGTTTCCAAGCTCTAAGGTAAAATTGCCTATGAGCAATGGCGCTAGAGAGCTGAATCATGACTATTCTAGTGTGCGTTAAAAAGAGCTTCTTAAGCTAAACAGGAACAGTTTGAGGAAGATCATTGGTCTTCTCACTGGACACTGCACCCTCAGGAGACACCAATGCATAATGGGTATTGTATCTGATCCTCTTTGTAGAGAATGTCATCTTGAGGAGGAGACTTCACGACATATACTTTGTGATTGTGAGTTCTATTCTGGTCAAAGAGTGGTGCATTAAGGCCTAGGAACTGCAAGGCATTCCTGTCAGGTGTTTGCTGAACTTTATTTCAGCTATAAAACTTTCTTGTTCAGGATTGTTCAGCTATAAAACTTTCTTGTTCCGTGCTCTTTGGAGCTGCCCAACCTCTAAGTTTGGCTGTTTCAACAGATATTTGCCTATAGCGTCAGCTAACTTCGCCTTCATACTGCTTGTCATGTTTCAAATAGTGGTTATTTTAAAATTATTTTTTCTTACAACTTTTTTTTTAATGAGAAATTCCATTTCCTGACAAACTTTGTAACTTATTTTGAAACTTAGTGAGAAAGAAAATCCTATATTTCTTTCATTTTCCTTTCTTTTATTTTATAAATAGACGGTCATTTTTAGAACAAACATTAACTCACCCATGTTTACAAGATATTTTAGTTTACTTTTATTACTAATAAGTATATATAAAAGTAATACAAAGAATTGCCAATGTAATTCTCGACAATTTTCTTTGTTTAAAAGATGAATATCTATAAAAATTTAAAAATAAACTTTACTTCCCAAAAAGTTTCAATACAAAATAAAAGAAATCTCAAAGAATAGTTTTTTTATTCCAAAATTAAACTTTTTTTAAAAGCATATTACAAAAACACCGGATTCCAATGCTTTATCAGGATATCTTAACAAAACACATAAGAAATCATGCAGAACACAAACATCAAATTGTTCAAACTAATCTCTTAGTTTCTTGAACAATCTTCATACATGTACAGCAAGAGTCCCAAAAGCTTTTTCAAGATAGAGGAAGCATTAGTCTGCAGTGCAATTTTTCGACATTAAAACAAATAATAATAAACAAGACAATTAAACTATTCTAAATGTTCAGTAAGAAATTCATTGATTGTATCAGTGTCCCATTTCTGAATGCTAAGTTCTTCTTGAGCATTCCCTTCAGCATCCAGAAGTTTGATCACTGGATCTGCTCCCCGAACATACTTCACAGTGAGTCCAGAGAAATTTTTTGATTGGTCACCACGCACAAATGCTGGTGGAAAAAAATATTAAAAGCATTAGAACATTTCATTTAAAGAAGTTTAGAAGGCATAATTGCATTTTACATTTTTAAAAAAAATTATGCTAATTGAAAAAGGAAATTGATATATGAAGCATAACATTTTGAAATTTATTTGAGGCATTGTACCAATTTTTTTACAATTCTATTTTTAAGATATTCAAAATTATTAGACACAAAAACATGGATTACAAAATGTTCTCAATTTTGGTAAATTTGGTTATTATTTAGCAGTAAAAAAAGTAATGGCTTAACTTTTTGTCTTATATAAGCTACTATTAATCATATATCCAATGCTAGAAGTATAAGTAAATATGGAGCGATATGTCCCCCCATTTTTCAAAAAAATACCCATATGCAATAGATGACAGTTTTAATGAGCAAAAAAATAAATATTTTTGAGAAATGTAAGATTTACTTTTAATAAGAAAAAAATCTTTTTTTTCAGTTTAATAAAAAAAAGGAAAAATAGTCTAAATACGAAAAATTGAGAGGCAGAAGTAAAATATGATAGTCTCCCATTAAACATAAGTATAGGAGTAAACATACATGTTATTGTGTCATATACTCTTGAAACAATAACGTAAATATATTTAATTACTTAACTGGAACACAAATTAAGTAGTCTGAAATAAATACAGGTCGTATTTCATTATAGCATTTCTTATTGGAATTACCAGAAACTGTAAGAAAAATTATCGTCTTTTAGCTCTGTCAAGACATTTTGTGAATTCTTCGATTGTGGACAATTTTTTAAAGAAATTAAAAGGCTATAAATGGAAGATATAAAAATCTACTTTAACAGTCAAATGCAATAAATTAAACAAGACAATAGCAAAAAAATTACTTGGAATAATATATCAAATGAAATTTTGAGAAAATGACAATTACTTAGAAATAAAGAAAAAAAAATTTTTTTTGAACATACAATTTGCACTGGCATACAATTTTAAAAATAGGATAAAAATTAATTTCTAGCAAAGAATATATAGTTGAAAAGTTTTACAATATTTGTGTTAAATTATCCAATTAGTGTTACATACTAAATGTAAAAACTAAGGTAAAATATTGATATAAAATGAACAAAAACTGTTCCAAGTCTTGTATAGTTCGAATATTTTTTATGTTATATTTACCTTGGATTTGTGGGTAGTGACCGACTTTTCATCCACACACTTCAAGTCGCGCTTGAGGATATTTCTAAAAATAAACAATATATATTTTATAAATGATCTATTAGTATAACTATCGATTACGCTAAGACTTCCAAAACAGTTGGCAGATCTTTAGAAAAGTTAAAACAACAACCTTGATTAATCAAAAGCAGCATGTAAAATATATTTAAAGTAATGTTATACCAAACTAAATGTCAGCTTTTAAATTTTGATATTTTTACGCAATTTATTGTTTCTAGAAAAAGCTATTTTCTAATTTTTTATGAGAGTGTATCATTTAAAAATTATAACTAAATAATAAAACTAAATATTTGCCTTGCACTAACATAAGATTCAATAACACCCACTTAGAAATTGAAGAATATAAATTTGAAGTTGTTGACAATTTTGTTTACTTGGGTTCTGTAATCAACAACAGGAACAAAATTACAATGGAAATACAAAAGAGAATAACTATAGCCAATAGATGTTTTAATGGAATTGGAAAATACATAAAATCCAATATAATTCATAAAAAAAACAAGTTTTATTATATAAATCTCTTTTAAGATCATTTTAACATATGCTTGAGAAACCTGGACGATATCCTGTACGGAGGAGGTTATGTTGGGTACCTTTAAAAGAAAGGTCTTGAGAAATATTTTTGAAGGAATTTAAAAAAAAATCATGTTTGGCTTAAATAAAATTTAGAGCTTTATCACTCATATAATGAACCTGACATTATTAACCTCATTAAACGACAAAGAATAAAATGGGCAGGCCACGTTATCAGAATGGATGAAAACCATACCACAAAAAGAATTTTCACTGCCAGATCAGATGGCACACAAAAAAGAGGCAGGGTGAATTTGAGATGGATAGATGGCCTAGAAAAAAACCCTTTGGTCTTAAAAACTAAAAAACTCTTGCAGGAAAAGGGTTAGCCTGGAAAAAACTTCTTGAGAAGACCCACCCTGGTCTGTCGAACCACTGATGATGATCAACATCATCTAAAAATTTAGCAATGAACACTTAATCTAATGATGCAGATCCAATTGTTACTAAACTAATTAAAAATTGAATTGCTTACTCAAAAGTTAAATTTAAATGATTTAATATAATCATAAAAAAAATCTTGTTCTATTCAAAATTGCTATATTCAAAATGTTTCCATGTGAAGAAATTTTTTAACAAAAAAAGCTGACAGCAGCATGTTTTTAAACCTGACATACGTCTCTCACTCCCACTAAGCTCTTCAAAGTTTAAAGAACAGAAAAATATATTAAACTGCATAAATGTTTACAACTTTATTAAAAGCATGTACAAAAACTATATGACTAATGTTTGCAGGGATTGTAGAATAATTTTATTATTATCAAATAGAATAACTTGAAATATTTTACTGATAGAAGAAATGTCAATTTAAATCCCACATACCTTAACAGGTTCTTTCTCTGCTTTCACACAACAGTTAAGGCAGCTATCCTTAAGGATGTCATCCAATTCAAATTGTACTAATTTATCACACCAAGTGCATTGAAGATCTGATCTCCTAAGACCAAGGTCAAAACAAGCTTCATTGCTTAAACTGCAGGCCACGGTTGTCACCTGCAAATAATTCCCGTTAGCCTACATTTTACAAGAAATTACATAATACTCAGCATAGAGATCATAAAATATTTCTTTCAATCTTTATAATAAATAAAAAGAAACTCCGTCACTTCAATAAATGCAGTTTCTGCAACAAGTTCCAATGTCGTAATTTTTTTCATAATATTTCGTAAGGTACATATTTTATAAACCAAAAATTTTTACAAAAAAATTTATTACAAACTGCAAAAACTCTTTTAAAAACATATAAATATACTAAAAATATTTATAAATCATGTAAGAAAAATTGCTATAAAAATAAGTATTTAAAAGGTTTACTGACCAGTACAGTTAAAGACAACAGAAGCTCATTAGCAACTCCAAGGGCTTTGTTCAGCATTATAGCATGTTTGTTTCTAAAATATTAGTTAAATATGTGTTATGCATGTTCATAAATCATATAAATATGATGTACATTTAAGTGACATATTTTTATTAGTGTAACAAATTAATGTATTTGTTTAGAAAAAAAAGCAGTGTTATGCAACAATACTTAAAATCTAATGAAAAGGAAGCATAACTATACTGGAAATTTCCACTGAACTCTAAGTAAATTGATAATAACATTCACTTTAGAATAAAGTAAAAGAGGGATTTTTCAATGAAGTCAAGGAAATTTTAAGAAATAAGAAATATATCCTTAATAAATTAAAAATCCTATGCTTTTGACAACGAAACATTTTTTTGAAAAATAATAATTTAACTTTAAACATTCATGTTTTTTTTATGTATTAAAAAATACGTTTCAGACATAAAATTGAATAAAGTAATGCAACAATATGTCAATTAACAGTAAAATAAATATTTTATTGTTCAGAATATTATCGTAAGCAATTGGGGGGATTATCATTACAAGATTGAATTTTCATTTTGCTTATAAATTACAAATATCATAGTCATTTAATAAATATTAATTGAACAAGCATTTTTCCTTTTAATAGAAGTTTAAAACAACAGTTTTTTGTTAACAACTCTGAAGGTAATATTCATTCAGAAGATACATATGTGGGAAAAATGAATAACAAATTTACAATAAAAAAATTTAAATTTGTTATAATTTTTTTTTTAAATCTAAACTTAAAGAAACAATTGACCGAATAGTGACTTATAATCTCTCATTTTAGAATAATTAGATATACCGGCTAACATAAGAATGAGAAGTCCTATTTTATATCTAATATGATGAGACAGGAATATGAGGGAAGAATTCCGTAACAATTACAGACATAAAATTTAAGAATAATCAGAAATCATTAATTAATTATCAGAAATCATACGTACATTTGCTCCTGTTTAAAACATTAAATAACACGTTCAACTTTAAACCAGCTTTTAACTTTCTTTCTTGAATGAATAGATGATAGAAATGATAGTTACAAATTAAAGGAAGTAAATACCTATTTTTTGTTGGCAACAAACTTTCAGTGTTTTAGGTTTAGCTTATTTTGATGCTTGATGATTATCTCACGTTTTGCGACAAATTTTTTCATTATGAGACATAATATTGCTCATAAAATCTTATTATTATTTGTCTTAATCCATAAATTTAGATCATTCATTTTATTTTAGTCTTAAAAATATGCATTTTATGTCATTTGCAACCACATTATTAAAATAATAAAAGTTTATTATCATTAAGGATAATTTTCATTTACAATGGCCTGTAAATGATCAGAACAAATAATCTGGTTATGCTAATCGGGAAAGAACATAAAAATATTTGAGGGAAAAAATATTTTGTTTATAGGAAAGATTAGAAAGAAATATCTAAATAAATATTTTACCTGACAGTTTTACTCATGTATAGGTCAACTTATTCTAAAGTAAAAAGCTTATCAAGTAATTAAGATTCAATTTAAGAAAAAAAATTGCTAATTTTTTTCTAATACCTAAAATATATTTAAACTGTAAATGATTAAGGACTTCACAAACATCTTTGTATTGGCAAAATATTTTATTACCATTAAAATATGATTTACTTCAACCAAACATTTACTTCATAAAAAAAAATGTTTTTGGTTTGGTACGTGGAATAACTTGGTGCTGTAAAAGGATTTACTGTGTTTTATTTCTTAATTTGTGGGGAATTATATGTCGACTATGTCAACCTTCATCTATCAAAAGGTACCTCGTGATAGATTCAAGTTAACATGTCTTATATACTATTGATTTGGTATTTAATATTTGTAGTGGTAGTTACGCCACAAATTCATGTGTATAAAAAGAATACATAGCACATAATGGATGGTGTTTTCAATATAAATATAAACAATAACAATCTCGAGCTGTATACCTGCTCTAGTTCTGGTTAGAAAGTTTGCAACTGCTTACTACAGCTTATTCCGCGAGGTGATATTTTGAACGGATAATTTTGTTTTCAATAAAAGAAGTAAATTAGATAATTTCTGAGCTCAAATCTGATGTATTTCATAAGATATTAATGTTGTTAAGTAATTCTGGTGAGTTTGAAGCAAAAATTGTTTCAGTTATTTATATTGTTAAAAAAGGTGATATGGTTGCTAGATTTTCAATAACTCGCTTTTTTGGCAGTCCTGATTTGGCCTTTTTCCATTTTTTTATTACTGTTTGTTCTTGTTGTAAGCTGTGCACCATTTTAGGGTAGTGTTAGCACCTTTAGCATTGTGAACATGAGTATTTTTAGCATTGTAAACACAAGTAATATGCACTCAAATACCACGTTTGCAAAAATCTGAAAACACTATGATCACGCTTTGAGCCAAATGGCTTTAAAATACACCGGAAACAATAACCCGGAGATATAAGCGGTATAGAGCTTGCAGCGTTCCCTAGTGTAGAAAACACCATAGCACATGCATCAACAAGCAAAACAAATACGATTGAAAGAGAGTAGCCCCTTTTTTTAATTGCCACCAGAAGTATTGAATTTGATTTCCATTAATTTGTCACTTAATGACAAGTAAGGAAGTTAATCACAACCAGCGCCATCTAGAAACCTTCCACTAATCTTGTTCATCGATTGATTCAATGTTTCATCGATTTTCTAAGATATTAAATAGGACAAAAAGAAGCATTACAAACTTAAAACAGGAAATAAAAAATTTCGTTTTATTTAAAATAGTTTTGTTTCGTTTAGCTCTGTTTAATTAAAAAATAATTGAAAGAAGTTAATTAAAAGCATATCGATGCATGTTCGCTCCTACTAGAATTACCGGGTTCTTAAAATCTGGATTTGAAAGATAAATTTTAGGTTTTATAGTTGGTTGTGTTAAGATTTTTAATAGTACAAAGCTTATCTAATTAGGCAATGAAAATAATTTTATTTTTGTATTAATACTTATTATGAATATGTATTATGGATACTTTTCGGTTTGTCAGGCGCAAGCGAAAAGTCGCCAAAAAGTATAGACTTCTGAACTTTTTATTTTTTTTAACACTGAACAAAACAGATAATGCTCACAAAAATTCATAGATGCAAAAGATGTTGATAAAAAAAATTTATTCTCTGTATTTTATTTGTTACTAATTCTTTTCAGATTTTATGCCATCATTAGAATTTTTCTGGCAACCACTGAAGATTTATTCAGTGTATTTAATTTTTTCTAATGAATTTAAAATTTGTTTCAGGATGTTTAATCCTCCCTTGGTTTAATTTTTCTAGCATATGCCTGAACTCTTTCTTTCAATTCTATTTGTTAGTAATTCATTTCTTGATTTGTTCCAACTCTGTAGGAGGGATATTCATCAAATGGTTCCTTTTTAATCTGAATTTATACCTGTAATCAAATTTCTGCTCTGGTGCCAAATCCTCCATTGTTGGGATTATTATTTTCAAGCATGTTTGGAATTAAATCAAATTATTAGAATCCATTTTAATCTTTTTGTTTCGATATGTATATTGTGCTCAAAGTAATCTTATTCTTAAATGTACTTTTTGCTTAGAAATCTCATTCAGCAACATTAAGCTTCACATTCCTTTTCAGTATGAATAATGAAAAACTAGTAAGTGAGCTTTATTCTGCATAACAATTTATAAATGCTGTTGTAAAAATAAATTATATTATCATTTATTAGCCCTTGTAATGCACATTCATATATTTTGTTTCTCTGGCTCATTTTAATTTATATACAGTTCTGTTAAAATTATTTATAGTAACATATAAATCATAATTCAAATATAGAAAGTTATTATAGAGTACAGTTGATTAAAAGTAAATGTTACTTTTATATATGAAATAATATGAGCAGATATAATCAATTAATCATTATCATTTTTGTTATATTTAATGAGCTTTAGTTATAGGGCATATCTGTAAAATTAATGTTTTTAATTGTGTAGCTACTTATTGCAACATCTATGATTTTTATCTTTCCTTTCCAAAAGGTATACAAAGAAAGTTATTATAGAGAAAAAATACAATTGATAAAGTTAAAAGTTAATTTTTTATATGAAATGATATGATCATGCATCTGATCACATAATGTTTCATATGTCTGATGTTAATGTTTTGCATTATTTTCACATAGTGTTTAGTAACATCTGTTCTATAGCATTTTAGTATTATACAATTTTTTTTAGGCTTAATAAGCTCCATTCTGCATTATGAGTTATTATTATTGTCATACATAATATCTCTTAATTTTAATCCAAATATTTGACTTGATTCTCATTATTACCAGGTTTGTGTATGCTGCCACAAGTATCCTCTGATGCTAAACTGCATGTTATTATCTCTAAATAAACTTGGTTATTTAAAGTATTAAAATACATTTGTACCTTTTTGTTTATATACATTGTGTCAAATAAATTCTGATATTTAGATGAACCTTCTTGTTTGTATAGTCTTGTCTTCAATATTAATAAGTTTCTTATTTCTTTTCATCATCTAGGACTATTTAAAATGTATGCTTTGTTTTGGAATAAATTTAATAATTAATGTATTTTAAAAATAATCCTATGTATCATTCATTATAAAATACATTTTTTTCTTAAATTCATCAAAATATCATGCCTCAATTACAGCGATAATAATCTCTCAACTTGAAAAATGTGTGGAAATTAATGGTTTTATTTTATTAATTTGTTTTGCAGTAATGATTGTTGCAGATTCTTTTATCATCATGATAATCATTTCTAGTTTTCATCTTTTTGAAAAATCTTAGTATCATAAAAAGAAGTAAATTTTATTTTTTATGTATAAGTTTTAATTCAATTTGTTTTCAGTAGTTCAATTTAGATAAATAATAATACTTATCAAAATTTTAAATGGAATCTTTTTAATTAAAGCAGTATTGTTTTTATTCTATGACTGATTTTCTTAATCATTAATCTCCCTTAAAAAGATTTCACTCAATGTTATGCTTATTACGACAAAAAAAAAAGGTCAACATAAATTAAAACAGTTGGGTCCAGAATTGAATAAACTCCTTTTTTGGACAATTTTATGTTTGTGTTTTTAAATTTAATTTACAAAATAAATAAATCTATGTTTTTATAAGCAAGCAAATCAGTATATTATAAGAGTTAAGATATAAGAGTTTAAAAATCGTAATGAGTTTTTTAATATATTATTCGAATTGGAGATTCTTTTTTTTTTATCATCATGCATTTTTGTACAGTACAGAACCCGTTATCCGGAAATCAGAAAACCAAAAAACCGGAACGAAATTCGATAAATTTTTGAGCCATTTTTAAAAAAAAAAAATTTTTTTCCTCATAATATTTTAGGATTTTTTTTTCTTTTTTGAAAGATGTTTACCTTACCATCATTTAGGAAATAATTATTAGTGTATTCCTTCATTGTTTATTCTTCTTTTTAAGATTATTTCCAAAAAAACATTTTTTTTGGTTGGGTTTAACAATAAACAAACGGCTTTTTGTAGCGATTCAGAAAACCGGAAAAATCAGTTATCCGGAATAGCAATGGTCCCGATCGTTCCGGATAATCGGTTCCCTACTGTATTTCTATGATAATCATTTTATTTTTTCATGTTTTTATTTTATTTTTCCAATATTTTAAAAATTATTTTTCTTTTTTATTTTAATAACCATTTTGTACCTGAACTTCATGAAGCATTTCAAATTAAAATTAGTTTGAATTAATAGCAATAGAGAACGTCATTAAACTACATCGTACGGAGCAGAAATAGAAGCTATCTAGGCTCTCTTTATTTCTCTATGTTGTAAACAAATCACAAGCTCTTACCTGACAATTTCATGTTAGTCAGTTTACTGCTGTTATTGCGCGAGGTAATATTTTCGAACAAATGATTTTGTTTTTATTAATATAAATAAATAATATAATTTCTAAGCTCAAATCTGCACAAGTAATCGATCGAAAATCACTAATTTCTTCCATGGAATGTGAAAATTAATTATTTTTAATATTTGGTATATAATCTAATTATCAATTAATAATTTATAAAAAATATACAATTACAACCATTTTCAACAATACGCTAAATGTCATACGCTAAAGTATAATTTTTTTTAAAAATTGGAATTTAGTGAACCACACACACACACCGTTATTACTGTGTCCGTACCGTAGACAGTTCACTATAATGGGGTTTGATTGAATTCGTTGATGAGAAAAAATTCATTGGATAGAACTTTATTTCTTTTTCCTATTGTCACTTAACAGAATCCTTTATTGATGTTACTTTTGTGTATAAAAATACAAGTCTATTATTTAATAATTTTTCATTTGGTAGAACAAAAATAATCTTAGCAGAAAGAAAAAAACAACTTTTAAAGAAAGCAAAACTACACATTTAGAAAAAAATATTAAGTAAAATATGTAACCATAAAATTTATGGTTTTTTCTTCCAGCTATCACAAGCCTGTAATGTACTACAGTTGCTTCTTAATGATATCATTTTCATTGCATTTGAATAGCATAGATTTGTTGGATTTAAATTTTCCTCACAGTTTTTCTTGGATGAATAATTTTAGTTGTAAAACTTCCATACATTTTATATTATTGTTATTTGATTTATTAAGCAAATTGTTCATTGTTTACTTTAAAAAATTTGCATTGTATGACTTACATTTGCCAGTGTTTTGAAATACTATTTCCCATTTTATTCAGTTTTAAATAATTCTTTGAGGTAAGTTTCCAATTACGGTGGCATGATGACACTCCTGGCGCAACATGAGACTTATATTGATCTTTTCCAGTGTTCAGAAATGCTGTTTGCCATTTAATTAATTTTAATGTACCCTAATTCTTTGTGGGATTTTTCTAATCTTTCGCTATGATGAGATTTCTGGTACCAGATATGACTTAATACCAGATATAATAATGTTTTCCATTGTTCTGAAATACTATTATGTCATTTTATTCAGATTTAAATAATTCTTTGAGATTTTTCAAATGCAGTAATATGATGATACTACTGGCACCAGATATGACTTATCATGATATTGACCAGTATTCTGAAATACTATTTTTATACAGTATTAAATAATTATTGAGAAATTCTTAAAATGAAAATGTATTTTTTTAAATGTTTGGTTTAATTGACTATTTGGTTGATTATTTAGTGAACTCTGTGGTGTGTGAGTGATATTCATCATTAAAATTAAAAGCAAGTATTAAAGATTTATTGGAATGCTGATAGTTATTTGTAAAAAAAATGCTGGATTAATTATATTAAAGAGTATTTAGAATTAGCTATTTATGTTTAGATTTTTATTTTATAGGGTCAGGTTAGGTAAAGTGTGTATAAATTATGCTTTTTTTTGAAGAAGAAGAAGACTCTAAAGTCAAGCTATTAAATTTATTTTTCCAAAAATTTTGATGCATTTTATTTACATTAAATTCATGTAGATTGACATATATCTGATCAATTTTGTTTGATTTCTTACAGTAATACATTCAAAAGAATACAGTTTGACTTTGTTATACCCACTTTACCCCAGAGTGGGGTAAATTGGTTATAGTTCTAAAATTAGTATATATTTCATTAAAAAACCTGTGTAAACAGAGCCGTTTTTAGAGGGTTTGGGCCTGTTTGGGGGACCTTGAGTAATTTCAAAGAAAAAATTTTACTCTTGAATAATTTTCATTTTTTTTTAGAAAGTAAAACAATGATAAGTTATTATAAAAGCTTTAATACATTATTTGCATTGAAAGTTTAAGGTAGCAATACTTTTTCTGCGTTTTGAGAGGTGAAGCCTTCTATCACGTCATTAAAATCAATTTATTGCAAGACATCATATTCAATGCTCATGATTGACAAATGACTCATTCTTTCTTAAGTCATACGATTTCTTAGTTCATTTTTGATTAATTTTAGTCTGAAGAATGAAGATGCACCACTACATTTAGTTATCATGAGTGACAATTGTCAAATGTCATACATGAAAAAAATTGACAAATGTTAATGTATGGAAACGTGTCTTCAAGATTGTTGTTTTTTACTATTTTATGCATATTATCTATTCTAAATTTATCTAACATAATCTCCTATGCCAAATCATGCTTGAAATGTTCTAATTATAGAGCTAGTTCTTTTTCATTTATATCATTGGCATAAAATATTTAGAAATTATGACAGTGAAGCGTTAATCCCTTGAAATTTAAAGAATTCAAAATTGACAAAAGAAAATTCAAACAAATCAGTTAATGCGCCATTGAAAGAGATTTTAATTGACTAATTAATGAAAGATAAACTTAAACTTTAAATATTTCGCAATGCCGAACAAAAAATTCTTGGTGAAGTACTCTTCGTATATTCATATTTAAAATTGGAAATATATTCATGAGTAGAGAACTTTTTTCTCTGTCCACTCACAAAAGCAATCAAGGCTTCAATCAATTTTAGACCATTATCGAAAGGAAGACCTTTTATCTGTATGCTGATTGAAGTCTGATTTATTCTTGATAACATATCACCGCAAAATTCTGTCAACACAATATTTTCCAATTTCTTTAGAAGACCACAAGCATCGAGTCCAGTTTATAGAAGCTCTTCTTTATTCGTTTCTAAAATTTGAAGTACGGCCTTAATTGTTCTGTAACTTTTTAGCAGTGCCGTTACTGCGTCGAAATGGGTGGACCACCTAGTATCCGATGGACGCTTTACGACTAGTCCAGATTCTAAGCATTTTGTCAAGATATTCCACCGATGGGTAGAACTGGAGAAAAAATATTGCTAAGTTTCTGTAAAAATTGGAAATAATCCTCTAAGACGCATCTCGCTACTTGTGCACGAATTAAGTTTAAGCTATGTGCTATACATGGAGAGAAAAATTGAGGCGGGACATTTCTCTTTTAACCTTGCTTGTAAACCTGAGTACTTACCTGCCATACTTTGAACGTTATCTCATGTTTGTCCTCGACAATCACTTATATTAATGCCATGGTCATTAGGAAAAGATACAATAGTATCATTAAAATATCAATGATTTAAATTTATGAAGACATTAATTTTTTGAAATGCGTCATTAATGATTTTGCTCAAGAAATTTTCTGGATTTTTAAGTTGGGCTCACAATCACCCGGGTATCTCGTATCTGTAAATGATTAAAACTCGCTGAAATCACCTTTAAATAGTTTTAAGATGTAATTAAAAATAATTTATTGTTATTACAGGGTGTTTCCTAATCACCAGAATCCATGTGAAAAAAGAAATAAGAACATATACTACTAATTAAGGAACAACTTAATATTTAAACAAAAGGAAAACATCTATCAAGAATTAACGAATCACTAATAAGGGGAGTAACGGAAAATAAGTTAAGTAACCTGTAAATTACAGGTAGAAATTTGGTATTTTTAATTATCTTCTTTCAGCTCATACTTGCTTTCCCAGATAATCTTACAGGTTTCGGTGCTTTCATTTCCCTCTTTCTCAGTAGTGATTCTTTGGATTTCATTATCAATTTCTTTTTTTTCCTCATCTTATTTGGTATCCCAAATGTGTACAGTTTTCATGATTTTATTTTTGGCAAGGATCTTAAAAATATTTTAAAGGTGATCGTTATAAAATGCCCTGCATAGTATCGTGTAATTAAATTGACAACGGAATGATTTGCTCGGCAATCAATACTACTCACATAATGAATACTTAAAAATATTTTCGATTTATAACAGTATCGTGTAATTAAGTTTAATGAGGATTAATTTGTACTGTAATTAATTTAGTTTAATCTGTCGCTGATGTTAATGTTATTGTAGAACTTTCTTCAGTATATTTTAACCGTATATAAATTTAGCTAAATTTTTCAATCTAGTTAAAATTAAATAAAAAGAATCAAAACAATCTATGGAATTAATTTATTATTAATATTCATGAATTAAAATAATGGATGCTTGTTTAATCACTTTTTTGCAAAAAAGAAATTAATCTGATATGGATAATGCAACACAGTGTTATGCAGGAAGTACGCCGTCATGTTGAAGTTGCTTCTAGGATCAATCCACTTATGACTTGGGTAATAGCAAGTTTGCTCGTACAGCAGAATTATGTATCTGTGACGATCTATTAAAAAGTAGTATCATTTAGTTTGAAAATATAATTAGACAAATAAAAAATAATTTAACACAAGTTTAATTTATTTTTCTTACTTATTTGGAAGGAAAAAAGTTGGTGGTAAAACTCATGCCCTCCAAGATTAAATGAAACCATGCTAGTTGTAAATGGTTTTAAAAAAAACGTATTGTTTTGTATTCATGGCTTTTTAACCATACTAGTTATAAACGGTTTCAAAACCGTAAAGGTAAAAATTATCTTTACAGTAAATTTCCCGGTTAATCGAATGGATAGACTGCTACTGGTTATTTTATCATAATTTTGGAATGAAAATTCTAACAGTGCAGATCACAGAAATCATGTAGTCCAAAATTTAGAATTCCAAATTATAAATACAAATGAAGATTTCTAAATAAATTTATATAAGATATATTATTTAGTCTGAAAATTGATTCTAAGAAAAATATAAATACAAAGGAAGATTTTTAAGTTTGTGTTTGGAACACACAGTGTAAATATATGCGACCCAAAACTTCACTATGACAAGCAAATGATGGCACGAAATTTAACAATTAAGCTCAAATGATCGTCTGAAATTCGTCCCGGAAAGCGATACTATACTAATCAATGGATAAAGAATGTTCTGAAGTGGCAAGGTGATTCGTCAAAGCTTGGAAAGTAGCGGTACCTAAATGATGACTTTTATGTATAGATTCCCACACATAAAAATTACAAAGGTCTGGAGATCTTTGAAACCACTTAAGATGAAAAAGATCATTTTGCACATCTCTTCCAATCAATCGTTGAATGCATGAAATAGCTTTAAGCAATAAAACTTAGAACTTTCTTCAATCTTTTGTTGTGCTATATGTAATGCCATCTATTATCATTCACTGAAAATAAATATTTAAAATCTGACCATGTCTATCAATATTTAATACAGCCGATAACATTTTGATTGCTGATATGTGTGCTTAAATGGGGAGGAATATTTTCGAAAAGCTTCCATATTGGTGAAGCTCTAACGAGTTTGGGTTACAACAGTAATTCAAACAATTTGCAGTTGTGATTTGATAACAAGCAATTTGAAAAGTACATCAAAACTGAAAAATAGCACAGTCAAACGTGGCAATTCAGGGCTGATTGTGCTCCGGAAAAAATCCGGAATTTTCGCTAATAGTGATCCGGAAGTTTCCGGCGATCGAAGGTCCAGATGTTTCAAAAAATCATTGATCACAAAAGTTTCCGGAAATCAAATTTTTAAAGATGGAACTTAAAAACACAGTTTATTTTATTTGTTTGTAAAGGAGAGCCAGAGAGATACTTTATAAGCTTATATTCATGATTAATATTCACTTTTTATCAGTAAATAGTTCTTATAATTATAAACTCAAGAAAGAAAGACATATTTGTAAATTTTAATTACTTCTCTAGGTCNATAACTTTCTTCAATCCTTTGTTGTGCTATATGTAATGCCATCTATTATCACTCACTGAAAATAAATATTTAAAATCTGACCATGTCTATCAATATTTAATACAGCCGATAACATTTTGATTGCTAATATGTGTGTTTAAATGTGGAGGAATATTTTCGAAAAGTTTCCATATCGAACGAGTTTGGGTTACAACAGTAATTCAAACAATTTGCAGTCGTTTCAGTAGTGATTTGATAACAAGCAATTTGAAAAGTACATCAAAACTTGAAGAATAGCACAGTCAAGCACGGCCTAGGTGGCAATTTAAAAGATTCGTAAGTAATTTCGATCATAACGTCAGAAGTAATTTGTTGCAAATGCAGTATTGTCTATCCAACTAAAGAACTCTAATGAGCAATAGAGCAACACTGAAGAATAGCACAGTCAAGCATGGCCTTGGTGGCAATTTAAAAAATCCGTAAGTAATTTCGATCGTAACGTCAGAAGTAATTTGTTGCAAATGCAGTATTGTCTATCCAACTAAAGAACTCTAGCCAGTTGACTGAAGAACTGTAGTGAGTATGTTTAAGAGGTTAAACTACTTCTAGTAGGAATGTGGATAAATATTTAGTTCAATTATGATTCGAGTTGGCGAGAGAAGTCTCCAAAGTTAGTCTTTTAAAAATTCGCTTTACTTTCATTCCGTAACAGCAGAGAGCACCAAACTTTGTCACGGAAGGAGTTCTTTGGTTAGACAGACAGTAAACTTGATTGACATTATGAGTCAAGGGGTAGTATATTTTTTTTTTCAAAAGAAAAGAAAAAAAAACTTCAACGTTCCACCGTGGAAGCTCTGAAGAATCAAGTTAGGTCTCCTACTCATATGTTTAGAATTTTTACCTTACACATACCTGAATCAGCAGGAGGATCTGGAGCCTCATATTCTAAGAGCTCTCTCCCTCTGTAAATGTCTTTTCCGGGTATGTTGTTAATTAGCCAGTGGAGATAAATAGCGTTTGTAGGTTTGTTGGGATATGGCGCATCAGGATCTAAAAAACAAAGTGACCGTGAATTTAGATATGTGCAAGATTTGTGTTATTAATTAGCCAGTAGAAATAGTATTGACTGCCCAATTAAAGAATTATTCTCGCCAGTTTCCTAAAGAACTGTAGTGAGTATGTTTAAGAGGTTAAACTATTTCTAGTAGAGATGTGGGATAAACATTTTCACTAGAAAACTATCTCTCATCTTCAAATTCAATAGAAATTTTTGATCTATACTGCTATGTCATTAACAGGAATTATATTTTCTACATTTTTAATATCATTTAAATTTAATCCTTTTTTCAATACAAATATTCATATTAAGATATTTTTCTCAGCAGACGCATTGAAATAAAAATTAATTAAATCGTGTACTGAAAATATCGGTGACTATTATCAAAAAACCTGCAAAAATTTAAGGTTAGGCTTTCGAACCATCAAGATTGAACAATAGTACGCGAAAATTCGATCATTAAATTAAAATTTATTCGCGTTGTCTTTAATTTTGCTTACAGTACATATTTATCTATACTCTAAAATATAAAACTTCAACTTTATCAGATAAAGCCAAAGGTCAATGAAAATGCAAAATTTCTTGGTGCCAGGATCAATTTTTAGGATCGAGCATGTTGTGAAAAAATAGCGTAACAGATTTTTGCTTTTATTTTAAACTATATTAACCTGGCTCACGGCATTTATAGATTACTGGCTAAAAGTATTATTTTTTTTTAAATTCTGTTTTTACATTTTTTTTCCTTTTTAATAACAATTTTAAAAAAAAGTACTCATTAAAAATTGTTCTCATTACATTTGTTTCACACGAGCGTCAGTAGATAGAGCGTGTCCCGTAATCGTGTATTTTAAACTCTTAATATGCATTCTCAGAATTTTAATCAAAAATGAAATAAAAAGTATGCACTTTGGGGGTCTGAAATTTATATTAAAGCGAGAGAAAAAGGCATTGAAATTTGACAAATCGCAGAACAGGAAGGCAATAAGGGATCAAAACAAGTTTGATTGCGAGGGGGAAAAAAACATATTACCTACAATTATTAGGAACAGTTTCTTATTTCAACCTTCAATTAACTCTGTGAAGCAGTTTATTACACACGCCATCCAGCACTGCGATTTGTTTGATTTCATTAGCGCCTTTGTTTATCAAATATTAATTTGCAACTCCCAATATATGTAAAAATATTTTTGTTTTTACTTTTGATATGGATTCTAAAAATACATATTAACACGTTGAATGCCCGTCTGGCCAAAATGATTTTCTCAGTATGTATTGCATTAATTTCTTCAAATCATTTTAGAAACGATAATAATATAAGAAAATTAAAAGCATTCAAAATTTACTCGAATTATGTGTTTCTAATAATCTTGGCTTCACCGGTGACCCCCGTGGCTCAACGAACAAACTCAGTGCCGGTCACCGGTGACCCCCATGGCATTCAACGTGTTAAGGGCGGTTTTTGCGGGACAACCTCTATCAGAATGTAACAAACATGTTTAAATTTTTAACTGATTTCGAAGTGCTATTTTTTTAAGCATAATACAGGGTGTTAATAAATTCCCGGACCCATTTTGATGTTTAATAACTCATAAAATAATGAAGATATAAACAAACTTATGGCATTTATTGATGGAATAACTCATATATTTTCCTTTCCAGGTTTGAATATCTTTACTTTCGTAAATATCGTCTGCTCGTGTGGTTAATTTCAGAAAATTTCATTTTCCAGTCTAAATATCTGTACTTTTCTAAATATCGTCTACTTATTAATTGCATTTTTCTCTCTTTTGTTTTTGGCAACTATTGCAATGTTATGTTTACTTTTGATGTGTTTGTTCTATGTAGTACTTTTCTATGTGATGTTTTATTCGAGCGGATATTAAGGAGAATGCATACACCACAAGAGAAAGCACAGATTTTATGGTGGTTCATAGAAATGAAATCGATAGTGCAAGCACAGAGAAATTGCAGAAGAATTTACCAAAAAGATCCTCCATCTAAAAGCAGCATCTTGCGGTGAAAAAAGAATTTTCTAGAAACTGGAAGTATCGCAGATAAGAAACGTTCCGGATGTCCCTGCACAAGTGATTTTGACGTTGAGCGTGTCAGACAGACATTTTTAGACAATCCTAGAAGATCTGTGAGATCAGCGGCAAGAGAATTGGATATGCCAATTTCGACGGTGTACAAGGTTATTAAGAAACAATTAAGACTGCATGCATACAAAGTTCAAATTGTTCAAGGTTTGGAACCGGACGATAGGCCTAGGAGGATGGCGTTTGCAACAGATATGGTAGGAAGGATAGAAGATGCTGCTGATTTTCTGAAGCGCATAATGTTCTCCGACGAAGCATCCTTTCATGTTTCTGGCATTGTTAATCGCCATAATGTGCGCATATGGGGATCTGAAAACCCCCATGAATACCGTGAGACACAAAGGGATTCCCCAAAGGTTAATGTGTGGTGTGGACTAATGCACGACCGAGTCATTGGGCCTTTCTTTTTTACAGAAAAGACGGTCTCATCAGTCGTATACTTAGACATGTTGGAAAACTTCGTATTTCCACAACTAGAAGAGCTTCAGCCACATGTCTTTTTGCAACAAGATGGTGCACCACCTCATTGGGGTATCATCGTTCGTAGTTCTTTGAATGACCATTTTCCAGGAAGATGGATTGGGCGAGGAGGTCCAATTCCTTGGCCACCCAGATCACCTGATATAACGCCGCTGGACTTTTTTCTTTGGGGATTTATAAAGGACAATGTTTACAGGAGGATCGTGTCGAACATTGATGACCTAAAAGCCAGAATTACAACCGCAATAGCCTCTGTGGATGCCGACATGCTTGCCGCTACCTGGCGTGAAATTGACTATCGACTTGATATTCTCCGTGCGACGAAGGGGGCACACGTGGAAGTTCATTGACAAGGGTCATGAAAGTTTTTGAGTCTATCTAACCATTTATGTTATTAATTTTAATCTATCTTTATTATTTTATGAGTTATTAAACATCAAAATGGGTCCAGGACTTTATAAACACCCTGTATATTAAACGCGAGCTTTCGGCAACAGCATTATATATTTCAAAATGTATGCTAAAAGTGTAATTTGACCCATGGTGGCTCAGGGGATTGAGAGTTCTCCTTCCAATGAGATGAACCGGGTTCGAATCCCAGCGACGGCTGATCGAAACGAATTCCGCATCTGGCTTGCACCGATCACAGTGCTGGCGTAATATGTCCTCAGAGGTAGACGTATCATGGGGTAGAGGCCGCTTGGCGTCAGGCTAACCGTTTCATGTAACACAGATGCGGGATAGTTCCGTCAAAAAGTCGTCCAAGAAGGCAAATTTCTCCCAATACTTGATTCAGTAGTTCCCTTGTCTTCTGGATTGTGTTAAAAATTACGTATTTATGTACATGTTTGTAACAAAAAAAGCTTTGAGTGTATGCAAGAATTTAAAAAATATTCACCTATGATAATTAGAGTGTTTAAGATATCATATACACGGGAATAACTGATTGAAGGTGGTGTTCTCGTTGCGGTAAAATCAATTTCATCGCCACAATTTTTTTACAGATCGTTTTTCCAAATTTTTTTGACGTATTGCACAGTCCAAACTACTTTTCTGCCTATATATTATTTACGTATACATTCGTATAAAGGAAAGAAAATGAATATACGCAAGTATTTAAAAAAATATTCACCTATCATAATTAGAGTGTAAAATACATCATCATTTACACGTGTATAACTGATTGAAGGTGGTGCTCTCGTAACATTTAAATCAATTTCATCGCCACAATTTACTTCTGTTTTTCCATATTTCACCTAAGAATAAAAAGAAGGAGTTAATGATACAAGCATATAGTACAAAATGATATTTTTAAAAACTAATAAACAAAAAATTAGAACATTTTCGAACATTCGAAAATAATTACAATTATAAGGATTAATAATAAAATAAAATAACAATTTTAAAAACTGCATTGCTCAAGTAGTCTAAAAAAGACAGAAAACAGGCATAAACATATTGTAAAATAATTTGCTCACCAAACCACCTGATTGCCTCTCATTCACCATTTCCATCAAAAGTCGATATTTTTTTTTTTAATAAAAATAATTTTGTTTATAAAAAAATTTAATCATAACGATAAGCCCTTACGATTTTTTCATTTTCTTCTAATGCGTATTAAATTAAACCTCAAAAAATGAAAATATTCATTTCTTTTTTTTTTAATTAAACTACTCAATAATGGATAAATTCAGATGCAGTTTTACATAAAGAATTGGTTAGTGAAAATGCACAGTAAACAAAATAAAAAACGGACCACCCTAAAAAACTATTTTAAGTTACAAAATCAGTCACAAAAACCTACTTTCTCTGAATAAAGACTTTTTTTTCCGACGGATTCAGATTTCTAAACTCAAAAATATAGGGGGTAGCCGCAATCTGTGAACTTGATCCCAATAGTTTAGTCATGAGAGCGCTCCACAGTTTGGACCCCTTAATGTTAATTTTACTTTTCATGTATTTCGCTATATCTCGAGAACTTGTTAAACGAATTGAAAAAATTTTGCACGCAATTATAAAATTCGTTTATGTACAGATTAATGCAAAAATTACTTTTAGTAAATTTTTTTTTATTTTTTTAATAATGGTTGAAGAATTTTTAAATTGTAAGTTATACGATTTTTTGCATCATTTTGAAGAATATAATTTTACACGGAAAAAAAATTGAGCGAAATCAGTTAAATAGTTCCTGAGAAATCGAATTTTAAATATCTAACTTTTGTGACATTTGATTCCTCAGAAACTATTCAACCGATCTCTCTCAAATTTTGTATTTTGCCATGTAAAATTACATAATTTAAAATGACGTAAAAATTTATACCTTAGATTTGAGATCAACAAATCGAGTCATTGAGGTAAAGAGCTAGAACGTGAAGATCCGATCATTAGATCAAAAGTTATTCAGAGTATTCCGTTTTTTTTTTCGGAGCACAGTACATAAACTATAACATATTGTTACACACATGTTAAAAGTTTCATTAAAACATCCATTTTGGCAAATCAGATGATAGAATAATGATCAGTCTGACTCCGCTATACTGAATCGTCTGCTAACATAGCAATGAATCTAAGATCTTTAAAAAGTATTTTTTGACCCAATGCAGTAGTATTGTTGGAAATAATGATTGAAACAGTACATAATTTGCTTCATGCATTGTTAACTAATTACTTATATAGGGGTTGGACCAATTTATGGAAACACATCTATACTAACTCATTATATCATATTTCTCGAGGAACAGAATTATTTTATAACTTTGGAACTGTTAAGGTCAACCGATTTCTCAAAAATGATTTAGAAGCCTTAGAGGTTTGAGAGACCAGAAATAAATTACTAAAAAGCTTATAACTTGTTAGAATTACTCTGGTTTTCATATGCAATAACGGCACAAAATTTCGTAAGCCTAACTTAAATATTCATGGAAATAAGAACTTTTTAATGAAAAACTAATTTTATTGCCTTACGAGTTTTTACTATAATTGAAAAAAATATTTAAGAAAATTTTTAAAGCTAATTTCAATTAATAGCAGAAATATCATTTTGAAAGAAAAAAGAAAATCAATTGAAATTGCGCAAGATACGAGTTCTTTCAAACTGCGCATGCGCGGAAAAGATATTAAAAATATAATAAAAATAATTTTTTTTCTAAATCGTATTTGGTAACTTATGAAGAAAGTCCGATTTAAATATCGTAAAAACTTGAAAAGTTTCTTGTAATTTTCTAAACAGTTTTTATAAATTTGCGAAGAAAGCTGCGTATAGTAAGGGACTTTTCACAAAAAAATAACACTGTCATTATGTAGGACCACCCCTTATTAAAGTACGTTAATACCATCACATTTTGTTGACCGGACCCTCACTGTAGTATATTATCATATGTTATTAAATTTTATGATAAAATACAAAATGAATTTTGTGAAAAAACCCTTATCACATTCAGAGGTTGTTTTTTTTAATGTACTAAAGCTGATTTGAAAAATACTAGAGGCATTTTAAATTTTCAAGAAATTCAAATATGACTTTTTTCATAGGTTACCACATATGATTCAGAACAAAATTATGGAAAAAAGATTTTAATTCCGTTTTCCGCGCATACACAGTATGAAAGGATTACTTTAAATGCTCATATCTTGCGCAGTTTTCAATGATTTTTTTTTTAAATCTTAAAATAATGTTTTTGTTATTAATTAAAGATTGCCCTAAAAATTATGTTTCGTTTTATTATATATTTCTGCAGTAATAGTAATTTTTAAAAATGTCCACACTTCTAGGAATATGTAAGCTAGGTTTACAGGATTTTGTGCAGTTATTGCATATGTGAACCAAAATAATTTATACAAGTTTATTGCTATATTTTTTGGTGCAGCGTATTCAGAAACACTATTTTTTATTCATAATTTATTACCGATCGCTAAAAGCTATAAACTTAAATTGATATCTATAGAAATCGCATGACCCAAACACCTCTAAAGTAATTCTCTAAGTCTTTTTTGAGAAACATTAAAAAATGAGTTAGTACAAAAGTGTACCCATAATTTTGTTCCAACCCCTGTATCAAGACAGCGGAAGTTCCTTACAGCGAATTTCTTTCTATGACGAAAATTTTAATCCGAACATTAAATGAGGTTTAAAATATTTTCCATATAATGAAGTAGCTCTCCTCTATAAAAATCTGTCCAAGTAATTTCTTTGACGTTTATTTTTTTTTTTCAAACTTCGCCATTTTTAGATATTTAATTTTTTTATTTATTTTTTTAAAAAAAAGAAGTTGTAATTAAAAATTGTAATTTCTGAGCAATTATTCGCTCTTCAATGTGCCCGTTTTTAAAACCATTCAATCCAACGGTCCCGCTGTGGACTGATCATTAAGACTCGGTTCCCAGTACATCACCGAAGTCAAGTTTCACTGACTGCTGTCAGTGAGTGGTTAGATACCCCACTTTGATTAGGCTGCAAAGGGACCGAGCGTGTGCGGTATCTGTCCTCGTAAAACTGTTCTAGAGTTAAGTTCTTGACTTCGCGTGCTGAGGATCAAAAGTGTGATGGCATGTCTTCGGATCATCCTCAGTGATGTTTCTCAGACCTTCGCCAATAGTCCAGTGTGAGCCGCGATGCATCAGGGGATAGAGCGTTTCCCTTCCATTGAGGTGAACCGGGTTCGAATCCCAGCGATGGCTGATCGATACGAATTCCACATCCGGGTTGCACAGACCACAGTACTGACGTAAAAAATCATCAGCGATATACGGATCATGGGTTAGAGTCCCCTTGCAATCAGGCTAACCGTGGGAGGTTTTCGTGGTTTTCCTCTCCATGTAACGGATTAGTTCTATTGAAAGTCTTTCACAGAAGGAAATTTCTCCCAATCCTTGATTCAGAAATTCCCTTGTTTTCAGGAGTGGGTTCAAAATTACAAGGCTTCGGAGTTGAACATTAGTTGTCGAAAACCCAAAAATTGGGTCTGCTGTTCAAAGACACGGTTATAAAATGAAATAAAATAGTCCATTGTGCAGCTCTATTGCGACTTAAATGAACTATTACTAGAATTTTTAATTAAATATCCTAATTATATACTTTTAAACTTATCACATAGATTTGAAACACAATTTTAAAAAAAAAAAAAAAATTATTATCAGCTAAAAGGATATTTGAGTCACTGTGAATAAAAAACTACCCATTTCTCAGCTGTTCGCTATAAGCGTAGCGAATAACAATAGTTAATCAACATTTCGGACAGGACCACTAAAAACGTTCACTATAGCGCGAGTTCATTATAGCGGGGTTAGACTGTAGTAGATAAAAAAAGCAATTAAAATTTCATACCTTCATCACATAGGGTGGGATACCGGGAAGTACACCCGGATAGTTGTTAGCTTTTTGATTTTCCTTACGACAAAGCCAAGCAATTTTTCTTTGGTCTTCTTCGTCTGAAACGACAATTGGTACGCTAAGACAAAACAAAATACAGCAAACTTTAAGGAACGCCATGCTTACTTGATTTTCAACAACACTAGAAAATATTTCAGATTTTTGAGTTTCCCTCAGATCCTAATATATCATTAATATCCTACTAGTATTTTAATCATATTCAAATTGTAGGGATTCATTTATTTTTATATATTATTATGTAAATATTAATAAACATTACTTATTCATAAATACAGCTGGCTTCATTAGTTATAAATCATACCAATCGTTGTAAGAACCATCATTTGACACATATATATTTTTTTTTTCGATTCCATGAAAAAAATAATTTTAATAATTTATGTTCATGGCTTTGTTGGTAGAAGGATAAATAAAAAAATAATATATGCTACATTTGTAAAAAAAAAAATTTAAGAACCTTCTGTCACGCAAAAAGAGACATAACCCTTTCTTTATGTTCGCACATTTATTAAGTTTAAAGAGTATTCTCCATAGAATAACGAAGAAAAATGCTGCATCGCATTTGAAACGTTTTTTTTTTAATTTTTTTTTTTTATAAACAAAATTATTCTCAAATGTGGAAAAAATCCCACGCATAATTAGTTGGCAATTACGTTACCTCATCCTTTGAAGCATGGGTGAGTGATTGTAAAGAAGATAGAAATTTAAAATCGACACTGGATATAATAGTTCTTATAGCTTTTGTACGCAAAAGTTTGGCATTTATAGATTTTTTATTATCAGTCTTCATTTTTTGGAGTTTTTTTTTTTTTTTTTTTTTTTTTTTTTTTTTTTTTTTTTTTTTTTTTTTTTTTTNTTTTTTTTTTTTTTTTTTTTTTTTTTTTTTTTTTTTTTAGTTTGAAAAACAAAATTTAGAGAAAATGCACTGTATACTTTTAATTTAAGCCTAAAATTCTATAGAGATATAAACATTAGTTTTTTTCTAGCTTTGTGCAATAAATATGAAGTTTTTTTTTTCTCTCCTTTAAACCCACAATTTATTACTCTTTCTAGACTTTAAGAGAAAGTGGATTTTTTTCCTTTAGCTGAATTTTACTGTAGGTTTTTTGATTAATAATAAATCAATTTTCATTTTTTTTTCTCTCTCTTGAACACGATTTTAAAAGAAATTTTCAGTCATTGATTTTAGTTAGTCATTAAGTCACATTTTATGGTCAAATGTGATGCATTTTATCTGATGAATCGATGCACGCTTTGATATTGTCGGTTTTGGGAATTATAAGTTGTTGATTTTTAATTTAAATATTATCTTCTTAGACAAGAACCTTCGCTTACTTTAAATTTCAAAAATAATTTTTCTTAATAATTTAAGAAATGTAATAAAATAATTTTAGAAGAGTAGAAAGAAAAAAGACAAATATTTTTTTTTGAGAACAAAGCGAAACCATTTGTTTTAAGTGACTGTCTCTTAGGGAGCCCGTATCCCAACTCGCTCGAATTACTTCATAGATTCTTTAGATAAGTGTGTATTTTAGTCTAGCTTTGTATGCATGGTGATTATGGTATTAAGCTCGATATACTCATTAAATACCATGGTAAAAAAATCCAATGTAATGCATCTGAATGTAATTTTATTTAAGAGCCAATTTTTTAAGAGTCCATGATGCAAAGGTCCACAGTTAAAACAGTTTACAGTTTGTAAAAGTATTGTGTATAAAAAAAAAACAGTTATGAATTTTTTGCCTTACCAACTGGAAACTTTTATGATTTTTAAACTTTTAGTGGATTGTAGTATTCCTATCGATTTCTTTAAGAATACATTAGAATCAAAACGTAATCTAGCATTAGAATCAAAACGTGTCAAACGTATAAATATGTAAGAATCGTAACTCTCTCAATTGCAATATAAAACTCAAATAACTTCTTAACTACTAGATAAATCGACTTGGGTGTGATTTAATCTGATTCAGAGTAAAATTTTATATCGGAATCATTATGTTACTTGCCTCTAGATAGTAACGAGTATGTTTTGATCCCTCTTAATTCTAGATAGATCCCTTAGTAACTTCTAGATCAGGGTTTTCCAACTTACATGAGGTCGGGGGCCACAATTTAAAACACCAGTCAATTGGCGGGCCGCAACTTTATCAAAATTTCATATGGGACTCTTTTATGTTAGAAGGAACATTAAATATTACTGTCTTACATTCGAATGGAAACTTAATAAAATAAGGATTATATTTTAGTTTTAAATATAGTTTTTTTTTTTAATATTAAAAAGCAAAATAACAAGTATTACAAATAATTTTGTTACGTATCATTTTGAATCTTCTCTTAATCAGAAACTTTGTGACAAGATTTTTTTCTTCTTTTAAATTTAATTCTGTGATAAATTAAAAATTTTTCTTGACCTATTAGGATTTAAAGCAGAAAGGAAAAAAACTTCTCGAGCATCTGAAATTAATTTTGTTTTCTTTTCCGCTCAAAGAATTTTCGATTCAAAGAATTTAAATAAATATGATATTCATTACCTCCTTTATGCGTTTTAAAATATACAAATGTAAATAACTTCGTTCAAAATTAGTTGTTTCAAAAAGATAAATCGGAAAATTTCTTCGAGAAAATTTCTGATAAGCACATTCTAAATTATATTCACAAAATACAAAAAAAACGAAATAAAGAAGAGCAACATACACGATTATTNTATATATATATATATCAGGGATGGCACAACCGCTCTTTGGCCCAACTACCTGCACGCGAAGTCGAGCGCTTTACGGTAGAACAGTTAAACGAGGACCATACCTCATACCCTCGGTCTCTGCGCAGACTGATCCAAGTGGTCACCCACCCACACAGTTAACAGCAACTGGCTTTTCCCGTTTTATTTTTGAACGGTGGCAAGATAGCGAGAGTATACATATTTAATTATTATTTATTTCATAAAATTTAACTAATTACACGATCATGTCGATAAATTTGAAATAATAAATAAAATTCCAACAAAAGCTATTGTGGCAGATATAGTGCTACGTACATGAAGAACTACTGCTATATACCATCAAAAATATTATTAAAATTTATATTTTTAATGAAATTTTCGCTTTTTTATAATTTTTTAATCTGTTATATTTTTATAATTAATAATAAGTATTACGACACCGTCATCAATGGAACGTAAGGAGGGGAAAAAAGCTGTTTTTCTTTAAATTTTTGTTATTATTTTCCACTAGATAGAGAGTGCAATATTTATTAATACTATCCTTTTCACATAACTTCAATTACTCAAGTTATTTTAGTTATATTTAAACAATCCACTTTTGTCTTTCTATTTTTCTCCTTCATCTCTTTATTCAAATTTTATTTTAGTGATTTTTTATAGTGTCTTTATATGCTGTTCGATGGCAACACAAGTAAATATCACCAACAAAAAAAAAGAAAACAAATTAGTATATATTCGAAGAAAAGAGATTTAATAACTATATAAAATCAATTTCAGAATTAAAATGTATTTTTTAATTTCAAACGAAAACTTTAGAAACAACATAGTTAAAAAAAAAAAAAAAGAGAAAATAAAAACGATCAAGTTAAAATCCAACGTTTCTTCTAGTGTTATAAAATTCTGTTAGATAGCAGCACTAGTTACTGTGCCAGATAAAACTTCAGAAAAATGAATTAAATTAATGAAATAACAATTTAAAAATAAGGAAGAACAACTGTAGTAAAATAAATTATAAAAAAAAAATTTATAAAAAATTAAAATTTGAATTTTAAAAAGAAAAAATCGAAATTTCATTAAATAAATTAAAGACTAATTAATGACAATAAATAAATATAACCTTCTTCTGATATGCAGTTAATAAAGCTTGAGAACTTTCTTTAAAAGTTCTTTTAAATATTCGATTCTTGCATATTTATTTATTTTCATACATTTAAAGAAATTAAATCACGGCATAAAATTGATTTTATACATGTTTAAAAATATTTTTTTAAGTACTGAACTTATATAAATAATAAAATAATTATTTCTCTAAAAAAAGATCAAATGAAAGATAGAAAAAGATCAATCAAATTAAAATAAAAAATACTACCATTATAAATAAAGTATTGTAAATTTTATTATACTTCATGAGTAGTATATTTCATTTTATTTTAACAATTTTAATTCATGTTTTTTACTTAAATAAATTTTTTATTCTAATTTTGAACTTTATTGCTCTAACCAAAATAAAACAATTCATATTTTAAGAATTCTTATTATTTAATCTATAAATTATCATAGTGCATCTTTACAAAGAACTATATTTTGAGAGGTATAAGCTAAAGCAAAAATTTTTTATTTTAAAAGGTCAAAAAGGAAAAAGTTTTAAAAAAAAAGTAAAAATCGCTATGAATTACCAAAATTCAACAATAAAGGCAAAGACACGTTTCGTTTATAATCTTTTACAACGCTTATAAAATGTCGCATTACAACATTTGTTTTTAGTCGCATTTAGTGATTATGTTGAGGTAACGTGTCTCGTTACAGCAGGGAAGGAGGGAGGGGGTTACCAAACGCCGTTATCTCTAATTACATCACCGTTTTTGATTAAATGATTCAAGAATTACGATTTTGTGACACTTGTGTCGATAACTCTAGAACAAAAGTAGAAGAGTAAAGAAGAAAAAAAACAGTGCAATCACCTTCTTTCACAAAAAAACTCTTAACTGTTTAGTGCGCAAAATAAAAAACGGAATACCCTGAATAACTTTTGATCTAATGATCGGATTTTCATGTACCGGCTCTCAATCTGAATGGTTCGAGAGCCTGACCTCAAATATGCTAAATAATTAGTGCAGCTGATTTTTTTAAATTACAAAATTTGATACAAAAATGTTCCCCCCCCCCTTTTTTTTTTTTCTTTTTGATTGTTACTGATTTTTGACCTTCAAACTTGCCGTAATACGGAAAATGTGGTTCCATTAGTTTGGTCAGGAGAGGTATTAAAAACTATTTTTTTCATGGAATGGAATTATCTTTGGATTAACGAATTTTATAATTGCATGCAAGAAAATTTCATTTCCCTTAAAAAATTTTCGAGATATAGTGGCACAGTAAAATTTATCTTTAAGGGGTCTAAGCTGTCATCCACGTTATCTTTGAGGGGCCTAAACTACACCACGTGTTTTGAGGATCAAGAGAAAAAAAAGGTACATTTATTCAGAACAGGGACTAATAAAGGGCCCTTATATCTATGATTCAGAACGAGAACATGTTTGTGTCTCATTTCGTAACTTAAAATATCATCTGCACTCTGCACTAATTAAGCACATTTGAGGTCAGGCTCCTGTATGATTAAGATTGAGTTCTGGTACTTTAAAACAAGATCATTAGATCAAAAGTTATTCAGGGTGTTTCGTTTTTTATTTTGCGTAAGGCACGTTGTTCTGTTTTGAACGCATCACACTTTAGCATAACTTTATATTCATTCTAAATGCTCTCATAAGAACTTACAAAAAATCAGTGATCTGCAATCAGTTGTTAAATCAGTTATATGCAATCTACATCAGAACACTTCTGCAATCGATTCATTTAAAAAACCTGAATGAAATCAGTATGTCTACACGGGATTTTTCTTATAAAACTTTTGACCTCCATTTTATCATCTTAAATATTTTAGTAAGTCAATTTCGAAGTTCAGGCGCTCTGTTCTAGGTCCGAGAGTTAACATCACTAATTATGACAAATTCATTTTAAAAGCTGTTCAAAATTTTATTTTCATTTTAAACAAATAATTATGACAAATATTTTGCTCCTTACAGCGAATTACTCAGTATAAAAATATTTGTATTATCTCTGTAGATTAAAAAATCGAAATTCGAAAGTTATTGCCATTTTAAGTACTTTTTGCAAAGTTTTCATCCCTCTTTTTTTTTTCCTTTGCTTTTTTTTTTACAATTTTCTTCTTAGATTACAAAACCTATAAGACTTAGAAACTGGAAATTACGAAAGTATGTAGAAAAACGTGCAGGGAGAACGGTGAAATAATAAAATGTGGTGGCATGCGACTCAAAGAATTCTAATCAACGGTGTGATTTAAGAATTTTAATGGGACAAGGGACATAAAATGGTAAGTAACAAGTCACAAAAAAAGCATTAATACAATCAGGGAGAAAACAAAACTTAAGTGGGGGATTTCGAAACATACTTGTTTTCGGTTCGAGAGATGGAGTTAAACTAACTTAGATTCAACAGTAAGTTTGAGAATTATTAACTGTTAAACTAGTTGGGAAAATACACCATGTTTGGTCGATCTGTTGCCATCTGGTGGACAGAACGTTCGCCTTCCAATTAGGTGAACCGGGTTCGAATCCAGGCAATGGCTGGTTGATTCAAATTCCGCACTTGGCTCGCAACGACTACAGTAATGACGTAAAATATCCTCAGTGGTAGACGGATCATGGGTTAGAGTCCCCTTGCTGTCTGGCTAACCGTAGGATGTTTTCCTCTCTATGAAACACAAATGCAGTCCGCCAGGAAGGAAAATTTCTCACAATACTTGATCCAGGAGTTTCCTTATCTTCTGGATTAGGCTCAAAATTACAAGCCTAGGGAGTTGAGCATTAGTAGTTGTAAGCCCAAAATTTGGTCGGCTGTTCAACAACGGTTATAAATTCTGTTGGCCTAGTAACTCGAATCTTGATTTATTCATATGAATGCTGATTTTCTTGTTAACGGCATTAGTTCCTCTCCACTTTTCCATAGGACATGGAAATGCATTTTACCCTGATTTGCGCATCTCGGCCACTAAGATGTTTCTTCTTCTTTTTTTTCTCTTACGTCACCTTTATTTTCTACTTTTTCATTGACAATTTTCTTTTTCTTCTTTTTCAAATCACTTTCGCTTCTTCCCAATCACGCTGGGCCTAACCGGCTGAGAGACATCGCGCAGCCAAAGGTGTGTGAAGCGGGGAGGTGGTGGGTTCGAATCCCACCGTAGACCTGGATGTATCGTCATGATATGTCCTTCTGTAAATTGTTATACCTGTCCTTCTAATTGACAAAGGTTTATAACCTTGAATTGAGCACACAAGCCTGCAAAAGTATGTAATTACAATAAAGCTCATTCACGTCTAACAAATCTTGAAATTGGGTGCCTATTTTTTGAGCGCTTGAAACATGTCGACTGTTGTTTCCAGTTTATAATTTTTTGAGACGAACGCAATCTTTGATCAAGTAATATCTTACCATTTCAGTTTCTTTGGATTTTTTTTATTTAATTAATAACACCCGTATATTTATTATCATTTTGCAGATAATTCGCGAATTTTTTAAGAGGTTTTTGCCCAGTAGATTGTAGAATTTGTTTGAAACTGTTTTCACGTTAAAGAATGCTTGTCATATTTTTCGAAAATGTCAATATGCCTCTGAAATTAATCATAAAATGCGGTATTTTTTTCTTCTTCTTTAATTTGTTCAATAATAGCATCTGATTATTTGATGATATTTGGACGATACTATTTTCTTTATTTTATTGCTCGCGCTGCACAGTCAACCAAATTTTGACCCAAATTATGTCAGCACTGTTTTCGGTGCGTGCCGGGAGCGGAATTCGTATAGACCAGCCAATGGTGGCTCTTATATCGCCAACTATAAATAAGAGGATGGTGGAAAATGTTATATAGAGTAGCAGTACATTAAAAGCAGTCATTACCAAACACCTTACATGACTGAAAACAATGAACATAGCAAATTTTCAAAGACAACTATCAACAAAATGTTGTTTCTCATAAAAAAAAATAAAGAGATTAATTGAATAAAAGAAATAATAACTTGAATTGGATAATAAACTAATTAATTTGTGTTTAGGAACATTCTATTTTAATTAATAAGGTTTTCTCCTCTGTCATAAACTGTTCGAAAAGCAGTAACAGCAAACAATGCATGTAATTTAGGTTGGTATCATTTTCAGTTTTTATCATATCATAATAATGCATGTAGAGATAGCAGAAGAATGATATTGCGATTTCACTTTTGTGACCTTGGCGGCCAGTGGTCCATTGTAAACTACCACTGATGCAGAAAACTAACAGGTGTGACGCTGGCGTAAAAAAAAAGTGTGAACTTGTCCTGACTTGGGTCATATTTTAGATTGCTGAAAGAAAAACAAAGATAAACAAATGCCATTTTCTTAAATATTAGAAAAAATTGCAATTTAACATCCGGGAGTTCTTTTCATTTCGAATAAGGGAGACCACTCTCTATTTTCATCTTTAGAGAGTTTATGCAGGTATTAGTCTTTTCATAGAAAGCCCAGCTGGTAATTGCAACCATTAGGTTTTTCTTTATCAAGGCCGTTGATTGTTAGTTTAAATACCGCACACCGCAAGACAACTCATAACTTCCATTAGACAGAAGTAACACAATAAAGGTAATGATTTTTTTTTTCGGATGATGAACAACGATTGGTAGATATGAGCCTAAACTTAACATTAAAGAGTCTTTGTTTAAATATAACAAGCACGTTTTCCGTAAACATGTATATTTAGAATAAAAAGTTGAAGGTATGATAGAAGAATTTTGTATGGTTAATTGTTTATGAATTATAAAAGAGGGACAGTAACATTTTGAGCTCCACTTAGTTTGCTTTTACTGTCGTATCTACCATTACTGTACTAAGAGCATGTACAGTGCGCCAAAAAAAAAGGACCACCCTGCATAACTTTTGATCTAATGATCGAATTTTCACGCTCTAGAACTTAATCTCAATAGTATAAGGGAATCTCAGGTATGCTAATTAATTAGTGTAGTTGACATTTTAATTTACGAAATCAGAAGCAAAAACGTACTTTCTTTGAATAAACATATTTTTTAATTTTTCATCGGATTCGAATTTTTGACCTTCAGGGCATAGCCGCAATTTGGGAAATACGGTCCCAATAGTTTGGCCAGAAGAGCAGTCCAAAATTTGGACCCCCTATATAATGTTAATTTTACTTGTAACGTACTTCTCTATTTTCTCAATAACTTTCTATGGGAACTGAGAAATTTTTGCACGAAATTATAGAATTCGTTTATCCGAAGATAAATGGTAAAAAATAAGCAAATATTTATTATTTTTTATCATTTTAGTTAATAATGGTAGAAGCATTTTTGAATTGCAAGGTATGCAATTTGTTACATTGTTTTGAAGAATGTAATTCTAAATGGCAAAAAACAAAACTTGAGCGAAATCGGTCGAATAGTTCCTGAGAAATCAGGTTTAGAAAAAATCATATTTTTAAAATTCGATTTCTCAAGATCGATTCGATCGATTTTGACCCTTAAATTCTGGGGATCAAAAATTTTAATCCGCGAGAAAAAATATGTTTATTTAGAGAAAGTACATTTTCGTGCCTAATTTTGTAACTTAAAATACCGTCAGAACTAATGAATTAGACTATTTGAGGCCACTCCCTCGAACCTATAGCAATAATCAAAACGTAAAGATCCGATCTTTAGATAAAAAGTTTTTCAGGGTGGTCCA